TCAATTAATTAATAAACGCCCGTTTCCATGCCGGACGGTTCAGGACGGGCTGGGAGCGACGGGGTGCCGTCGCTAATTTCTGGGACGGCCGTCCGGGGGAAGTTTGTGGACGCTGCCAACTGTGTTGGGACGGTCAGGACGCCGTTTCCCGCTAAGGACGGGCAGGGACGGCGTCCGGTGGGCGTTTCTCCGTTGGGGACGCTTTCATTTTTACAGAGGAAAGACAGTATCCAATTGGCTAGGCAGTATCCAATGGGCTGAACCAAGACAGTATCCAATTGGCTAGGCAGTATCCAGGTAGACTCATACAATCTGGCCAATTGAAAACTGTCTTGGCAATTGAAACATCTGTTCAGATTTTTCTCTCCTGAAGATGTGCTTCATTCAAGACCGTCTTAAACTGCAGTGCTAAGTGATTTTGTAAATTCAGAAACTTTTCAGAGCATGTGAAACAAATCGTATAACTAACAAGAAAGAATGAAACTACCTGTCATTAATTAGTCCAGGCCTGTAGACCTTGGATGCTAATGTTCCTATGTCACAATTCATAAGGTCAAACAATGTATTTCAACTGTCTGTTTAAAAGGAATGTAGGTGATCCATTTGAAGACTCAAATGTATTACCAGGAAGGATCCTTTGAGAGTGTTGTATGTTTCAGGAATAAAGGCAGAAGCTCTGGTCGTTCATTCATTTGATGAGCTGCATTCTCGAGCCAGTGAGGTGAGCATCATTTCAAAATTTTACACCAATGACTGCTAATAAAAGATGAAAGAATATATTTCAAGTATAAGATAGATGTATGTTACCGTGTGGTTTTGTTTTACACAGGCAAAGGGGAAGATCATTATCTATGACCAAGGGTATGTGAACTACGGAGTATCGGTGGCGTACAGAGACTACGGCGCGGTCGAGGCAGCCAAGGTGGGGGGCGTGGCATCTCTGATCCGATCTGTGGCTGCCTTCTCCATCCACAGCCCACATACCGGCTGGCAGGTAAGCTCTGTTCCCCCTCTATGTCATGGAAAAGGAAGAAAAATAATTATACTGTGAATCACTTTATGTTTGCACTGGCAAAAGTTTGCCGTCTGAGAAAAATGGACATGTTCGTTAAACCATATACATTCGCGGTGGTGGTAGGAGCAGCTAAAAGAAAGTTGCTGAATTATTCACGATGGTAAGTTACAGTACAGGACCGCAATGAAAAATGAAAACCATAAAAAAAAAATGAAAATATGGTGAATTATAGTATATGTTTAAAGAGTTTCAAAAAATTTGTTTCCACCTTCCAATTTCACACTAAGACATGGAAAGGATGCAAAATGAATGTATATGTATCTACTTACTAGTAATTCTTCTTTTTATAAGGCACTTTAGAGTACATTACACACTGGAGACAAACTATAATAGAGCAAGACAGTTGATTGACAGGTGCCTCTTTTAATCAGTTTGCAAAGTACTAAACTGGCTGGAGCATGTTATGTGGTGACTTAAATCCTCATTAATACCCATGCAGGATTACAAGGACAACACAACAAAAGTGCCGACAGCTTGTATTGCTGTGGAGGATGCTGAGATGTTCTCACGTATGGCGGCCAGAGGTGTGGTGTATCTCATATGGATTCTTCAAATACTAGTTAACATATTATGATTGTTAGATACATGTATCAGTAAGAATGGTAATAAATGATTTTACCAACATACCAGCCTATGGGTTTAGCTTTGCTATAATTGTGTTGTTTCCCTTTGCTGATTATTTCATGTTTTATTTTCTTTTAGTACCTAAAGCATTCTGATAATTTGGAGTCTTACAAATTGCAATAATTTCATTGAAAGTTTTATTCCGTTTGCCTAAATGACCAGGCAGCACTTTTTTTAAAGAAGAATTCCTTTTAGTGTTGAGTGTTGACTAATTAATTTTACTCTCATTCCACCCTTGTTCTTGTCAGGAACAAAAATTGTTCTTCATCTGAAGATGGAAGCCAAGAACCTGCCAGATGCAAAGTCTAGAAACACTGTGGCTGAGATCAGAGGGAGGGAACATCCTGAACAGGTGAAAATAAACTTCTTAAAAGTTGTGCAAATGGAAATATATCTTAACCCATGGTGCAATAAGTATTGCATGCCATAGTTACAAAAGATAGTTTTTGCTGTTTTAATCAAATTTCTTCATCATCATATAAAAGCTATCTTGCCAACACTCTTTCTGTATCGTGCTGCATGTGAAGGTTGCAGTTCTTGTGTTTCTCAACAGGTGGTGCTTGTGAGTGGTCACCTGGACAGTTGGGATGTGGGCCAAGGAGCCATGGATGATGGTGGAGGTGCCTTCATATCTTGGCAGGTAAGGGATGATATGTCGAAAAGGAGTGCTAAAAACAAGGGGAGACTTTTGTGTTTTGTTTTGTATTCCATTCAAAACTTTAACTTGCAATTCAATTTTTTTTCATTTCAGCTGTAAAGTTGACCCACCTGTAGATGTATGATTCATTGTGACCTTCTTTTGCAGGCATTGTCATTGATACGTCAACTTGGACTTCGCCCCAGACGAACACTGCGGGCAGTGTTATGGACAGCGGAGGTAACTTCTTCAATCTCGATTTCAGTTGAAGACTGTTGTACAATTCTTTGTGAATACATGTACTTTTGAAAATAAGCAAGTTTAGACTCACCCAAATTTCAGTGTGTTAGAAAAAACATGCTTCATGATGACTTCTAACAACACAGATGAACTTTCAAGATAAGCAATGTGTCATGTATTTGAAGGTACTGCACTTACTGTACTTTCTTCCTTTAGGAGGTGGGTTTGGTGGGGTCTCAACAGTACTACCAGAGGCACAAGGTTAGTAAACTGGGATATGGGATCCACCCTAGTATAGGAATTCAAAATTTCATGGTTTGACAGAATGTAAGTTGGCAGAATTCTAATTTTTTTCATAGGATAAACACTTAAGATTTCATGTCATAGATATTCTGAGAAAACTGATCTTCTGTTTTCCTTTCCAGGCCAACAGTAGTAACTATGACCTTGTGATGGAGTCTGACATTGGAACCTTCACACCGACTGGCATCATGTTTACCGGTCAGCCATGTTGATGTCATTTTTGACCTACTGTCATATGTATTACAAAACATGTAACGTTATATGACATGACTTTTGCCTAAGCAATAAGCAAATACTGGCTTCTACTACTAGCATATTGTGAAATTGTTGTAGACTGTTTATTTACATGTATGTTTCATTGAATGAGCTGTCAAAGTAATATGTAAATAATGGTGCAAATAACAGAGAGATTGTTTTATTTTCTATGTTACTGTCATTTTACTTAACTGCATCCACTGACATTTAAGATTTGATAAGTCCAGAAAAAATTCTATTTTTCCAATTTCATAGAAATAGACAAATATGCCATTCAATTTACTCAATAAAAATTTGCCTGTGAAATTGTGTGAAGTAACATTTCAGAGGGCCTGAATTTCAGTTTCAAGTCCTCGCCAGCGGTTGACCCAAAAAAGACTTTACGGAACTTTACCATACTAGAGTCGGCAGGTTTTTGCTAGGACAGTCAGCAAACACGGGAAACTCATTTTTTTCCTAGGCCTTATATGTGTCTATCTGTTCCAGGCAGCTCCAATGCTAAGTCCATCATGACCGAAGTCCTGTCCCTGCTGAAGCCCATCAACTCCTCCCAGCTGCTGGACCACGCCGAGGGCGGCGACGTCTCCTTCTGGATCAGCGACGGCGTCCCCGGGGGAAGTCTGGCCAATCAGAACGAGAGATACTTCTGGTTCCACCATTCTGATGGTGAGGATTTTGTGTGCAAGTTTTGAAATTTGCCCCCAATCGCTGTGTGAATGTAGCCTGCCCGGTACCATCCTGATTTTTGCTCCAGAACGCTCGAAAAAATCACTGAAAAATGATTTTTTTTTTCGAGCATTGCGGAGTGAAAACCTGGATGGTACCCAGGCTACTGTGAATGATAGTATGATAATCCCTGTAATATCATCAGAGCATTATTATGATAATCTAATCTCAGCTATTCATATAACTGTATTAAAAATGTAAGCATGCTATTGCTAGAGCCAACTGGAAAAGGTGTTCTCTGCTTATGCCTGTTTAACTCTCAATAGCTCACTCGCTTGCTCACTCACTCACTCACTCACTCATTTACTCACTCACTCACTCACTCATTTACTCACTCACCCACCTAGCCATAGGTGAAGTATGCATGTCAGCAAAAGACTTCAACCTCTAACAGTGTTTGGTTAGCTGATTTGGAGGGGAATTTTTTTTACATCAGACATGTGCATTATTATACAAGCATGTGGTAGAGATAGGTGTAATGTCCTGATGATGTTGTCTAATGTTCTCTAACTGTAGTGCAATATTATCCATGTTCCCACAGGTGACACCATGTCAGTACAGGACCCCCGTGCCATGGACCTCTGCTCTGCTGTGTGGGCTGTTACAGCGTACGTGGTCGCTGACATGGAAGACATGTTACCTCGGCACTCAGGCCCATGAAAAAAAATTGTTTCCCATTTCAGTGCTGAAGAAATTAGGGTCAGCCAGTAGGGATTATCTTTTTTTAAAGACTTTGGTGATCTCTATTATACTTTATTGATAGTGATTCAAATTATACAGTACAGTTTAACAAAGTGAAAATAGCATGAGAACACTCTTGGTTTTAAAGTCAATGTTGGAAAACTGATTGTACAATGTTTCATCACACAGATCATGGAGCTAGGGAAGCTCGAAAAATTGTATGTCACTTGCAGGGGTCCACAAAGGGGTTGGCAATTTTTTCTAGTGTCAGTCGGAAAACAGGAAACACAACATTTTTTTTCCTAGGCCTAACCATTGTCACTTGTTAGGTGCAGCATGGCACAATACCAGGTCTTTTATTCATGTTTCTTCATCTTTTCTTCTTCTGTTCCAAACAAATAAGGTCAATGATCTGAACCAGACATCTGTCACCATGGTAGCTGGTGTTGTAGCAGCACCCTATGGTGTTGGGTTACATTATGTAGCAACTTGCGGGACAGTTGGAGGGGCTAGTCACCATACATAAATGTATGTATTACTAAGAATGTGGTTGAGTTAGAATATTTAAACAGAGCAGTAGTTTGTTAGGCAGGACCATGTGAAGGTAAACATTATAAGCATTTTGCTCTCTGCAAAAATGCTACCATTGACTACTAGTAGCTGTAAGAATTGTCTCTTACACAGCTTTTTTTAATCTACTTATAGAACTTTAATTTGAGAACAAAGGAGCTGAATTTGACATTAGATACATTATAGGAGTACTTAGTATCACTATACCAAGGAGAAATATGTACCCTGGCTCAAATGCAGAAAGACTGCAAGTCCCTTCATATGAGTGCTAATGAATATTAAGATCCCATACCAACATTGGTTTTAGACAATGGCAAATTAGAAATGTACAAAGTTATGATTTTTTTCAGCATGTGAGAAGATGCAAATCCAGTATGTGTTCAAATTTAATTTCATCTTTGTATTCACAGTCTTCTAAATAGTCTGTCAGAAATCTAGTTGCACCAACAGTGTACCTGTACAATGTTTTATTGCCACAGTTTAGAATGTACATAAGACTGAGAAAAATAGTATAATTGTCTATGCAAATGTAGATATTGCCCTTGATGTAAATTCAAAACTATGCAAAATATTTCATGAGAAAAATAAATTGCCACCTGTATACCCTTAGGCTAGTATTCTGGGTGTCAATTTTTATGATCTGATGTTATGCTTATTGATAAAAATAGATAAACAATACCAAGAGATATTTAACATCAATTTAGCCCTGTAAGATTATTTTACCAATCTATTATAAATATCCATTAGAACATGCATGATTTAAGTAATGGATTGGTACTACAGGTCTGGGTCTGTACCTAAACCCATGCCTGTGCCTGTATACAATAGTAATACATGCATAGCTCTAACCCAAGGAGCTCCTTGCTCTAACTAGTGAATATGATCTCAGACTATGGGTTTCCCTGCCAGTTGTACGCCAGAGCAGCTGACAGCAGTCCCAGGATCAGACCAACTGCTGGTGTGGTGCCGGCAGTGTTTTCACCTATAAAAAGAATGAAATACATCACTGGATCAAAGTAAAAGACAACAATAATAGCCTTGTCTTATATCTGCCATCCACATTCCGGCATGGCAACCTTCCTCTTTGCCCTTTTTCGACATGTATATATACCACTATCAGAGGAAAAATTGTTTTTTCTTTAAAAAAATCAGGCGAAAATTTATGTGCGCGCTGATCATGTCATCAAAAACTTGAAATTACTGACTGGTAGTCGTACCGTTCTTCTCGTAAGACGTGTCCTCCAGCATGTCCATCGCCGGTGCTACACAGGGCTTCCACAGCACTAGGGTACAAAATCAGATATATCATTATCATTACAGTACACATGCATGTACCATACTTCTTCAAATCCTCTTACTATTGATGTGTGAATATGACAGTCGACAGTTGGCCAACTGAATATAGTGTTTGTCTTTTATTCTTGGGTCACAGTTGCATGTACATGTACTAGTAAGGGGAATAGCCCTCTGAATCCAGGGGCATATGGAGTAAGTTGACTTGTGATCACCAACGGTAGGTACCGGTAGAGACATTTATGTCCAAATCCAAGTTCGGTCTACAAAGATCAGTTCCAGGTCAGGCTCTGATCTACTACTTTGGAGAGTACTACTATTTTTTTTTGGGGGGGGGGGCGGTCGAGTAAGAAATGCCGGCTTTGTACCAGTACCGTGTAACAGTACACCCACAGTCGGGTCACAATTAAAAGGTTACTTCGCGATGCCTTTTAGACGCCCTAGTTTACCCTTTTGAGGGTCATTTGAGTTGAATAGAAATATATATACTTCATAGACATGTCACAGCTATAACTGATAATGCAATATTAGTCCACCGCGCGCATGAATGGCATAGAAGATTAGAAGATAAAGTCTGAGAATGATGTGAGTGTGAATATGATATCCAACTTACCCAACACCAAGACAGCCATCAACAGGCACCGGTATGCGAGAGCGTTCATTGTCGGTATTTCTGAAAAAGAGCGAAATTAACATAATTGTTACTTCATAAATTGCAGTTGCGATGTGGTGTATAGTCCATTCCTTATTCAAACAGTCATGATCTTCCGCAGATCCTACCGTGGCAAGGCAGTATCCATTGGCCAGAGGAGTCGTATAGTTTTACGTTGGCATCGGACACTGTCCATTGGCTTCAGTATTGACCTGGCCTCCTTTGTAGACTTCTTATGCGACGCTTTTGCCGCCGAGCTGCCGAGGGACTTTGCCGGGGAGAGACGATTCTTGTGCGGGGAAATTAGTCTTTCCCCGGAAAAGTCCCTCGGCGGCAAAACCGTCCCCTAGGCATATATAACTGGCGTCCCTCCTCGAAAACAAATCAACATCGCCGCATCAGAAATCTGCGAAGGAGGCTGGCTTTGACCATTGTATCCAACGGGGCTAACGGACACTTTGGTCAAATATGGATACTATCTTGTCATCGAAGGATCTTTTGGAGATCATTAGTCACTGGATGTCTGCATGTATCTATAATAAAACAAAAAGATATCTAATAAAAGTAAGACTCTGTTAGAATATTATGAAAATATAGAGGAAACGCACCAACTTCAAGGCAGGGTGACGTTGATAGAATGCAGTATATCAATGATGTGTGATCGACTCAACACGCACAGCACACACTTCTGGTACCGGTTTGTCGACACCGTCAGATGTTAACGTGAAAGTACAACAGATACAGTATGAAAGAACACAATTGTTCTGAACTGATACCACCACACCCACCATACACAAAAGAAGCAGTCAATCTACAATGAAATACTAGTAGCTATTACATCCCCAAAAATAACATAGGAGGTATTACCATGGATGTGATCAAGAACAACAGATGTGTATTCATTGAAACCGACAGACTGCGGCCGTTAGAAAATATGACTGATTGCCGAGTCATCATTGTTGACAGATACAGTAATTAAAATACAATTATAATTGTTATGAACTGAGACCACCACACCCATCATACACAAAAGAACAATCTACAATGAGATAGCTATTACATCTCCAAAATAACATTGGTGGAGTTACCATGGAGATGATCAAGAACAACAGATGTGTATTCATTGGAACTGACAGACTGCCACCAAGGACATTATACCAAGGACATTAGATGTAGAATTATGTCCTTGTTGCGACGACCGACGTACCACTCACTGGTGTTCATGAGTTCGCTTAATTGAGCACGGGTTGAGGCTGACTACGAGGATTTAGAACTGCCCCTCCCACCAAGGGGATTTCATGTCTCCCGAGGCCGGAGCCCGAGGGTGACATGAAATCCCCGAGGTTGGGCGGGCCCGGGCAGTTCTAAATCCGAGTATTCAGCGCTAGCGTGCTCTATCTAACCATGGTCCATGATCTAACTTTTAAGAGCACTTCTAGGTCCACGAAGTTGATCAACTCCATCCACTAGTACTTGATTTTGCTTCATAAATCTTTGTTTAGTGTCACTTTTTGTCTTGTTTCAAGGCCGGTTGTTTGGTTGTCCATCTGGGCTGATTGACGACGTACCGCTAGGCTTGTCATTTTGTAATTGATTGTACATAATATGTCATTATATAGAAATGACAAGGATTCCCTCTATACTTATATAATAGATAAATTCCCGGCCCGAGCCTCAGGCTTTAGATGGAACAGGCAATCGTATTCCTTTATGAAACTCGACAAACTATGTATCATTAGCTCGTACATCTCGTACATCTGCCTCAAGAAGCGAGAAAAAGTTGAACCTGTAAATAGCACATCACACCAGTAACGTTATGTATTATTTTCCCCTGTTTATTCATGACCTGTACGTATTTCCGCGATCCGACGCGTCAGAATGGTATTTAAAGATACCTGCTGCACTTTTAATCAAACCTGCCAGGTGGCGCTGCTGGACGGACGGACTCTTAACCGAACGCATGCGCATTGTCCCCCGCGTTCATTCGACGTTTTCCGCCATTTTACACGCGACAAAGAGCACTGAAAATCTTCCATTTTTTACAGGCTTGGCGACAGTTTAAAGTCTTTGAGAAGCCAACATGTCTATCGGAGTCCCCATCAAGGTCCTGCACGAAGCAGAAGGCCATATCGTCACACTGGAGACCACAACAGGCGAGGTGAGTTGGGCGGTGTGGGAGGGGGGCACACGTGCTGCTGTATATATAAATTTGTTTGCAGGTCTTTCTTGCCTTTGTCTTCATCTTTTGGAAACACCTAGAAACTTACCCTTCCAACTGAAGTGTATTATATTTTGAAATCTCTTGTCAAAGATAGATACGTGGGAGCACACAACATGGTGTTTGTTTGTACTAGTTAGTAGTTACTAACGTTACTACGTTAGTATATTTCCTGTATAGCAGTGGTCAGAAAAGTAGTTACTTGTGTTTATTCCTTTTGCCCATAATTATTTTGTATAAAAGAGGCATAGTTTTTTTTCCTCATTTGTAAGTAATTGCAGGAAATTGAAGCAAGTACCATTTCATTATATAAAACTAACTTGCAGTTGCAGCACAACACCACCATAAAATGTTTTTGCACAGGTCAAATTATATGAAATTATATATATTGTAGTAACGTTATATGTCATCATACATATTTGCATACTAGTATAATTTTGTTTTCTGTATTGCAGGTATACAGAGGGAAACTGGTGGAAGCAGAAGACAACATGAACTGTCAGATGGCCAACATCACAGTTACGTACAGGGACGGTCGAGTGGCACAGGTACTGTTATCGAGACTTGATTGCTGTAAATGCATTTACCTTGGAGAGGTTTTATTTGCAGTAGTATTGAAAAGGGAGGTTTACCGTTATGGTGTTTTTGTGTTTGAAAAGAATTCTGGATTGCAGTGGAGTCTCGAGAGGTAACAGCAAAATGTGTGAAAATAAAACCACTGCAAAGTTGCATGTACTTCAAACTGTGACCAGTGGCCAAGTACGGATGCCTGGCTAGTTTGCTAAGAATTCAGCACAGATACAATGTACATGACAAAACAAAGGAGTTTAAACATGTATTTTGACATTTGTATGCCTCAGAAGATCAAACCTGTGCCTCAGTTGGCTACGTAGAATACTTGTAACTAATAGTATGCACCAAGACACTGTTGTCCCTTTGTGTTATGCCATCTATGAACCTGGAAGAAACTCATCTGACAATCCATCTTTTTTTTTTTCTGCAGCTGGAGCATGTTTTCATCCGTGGCAGTAAGATCCGGTTCATGATATTACCAGACATGTTAAAGAACGCTCCCATGTTCAAGAGTCAACAGAAGGGACAGAAGGCAGCCATGGGCAAGTCTGCCATCCTCAGAGCACAAGGTATGCAGGCCTTGAAATTAACTTTCTTTCCTTTTGCCCCACTGTCCCCAAAATAAATTTCAATTGTCCCGAAGTGAGGATAAACTGTCCCAACCTGTTTTTTTGGGAAGTATTGTATGACTTCAACATGAAGTGAACTTTATTTTGCTTATGTTCACTCCCAGTCCCAGGCGCACTATATTTGCAGAGTAGACAGGCAATTTGGGGGGACATTTCCGGATCCAAAAGCCAGGACGTGTGCCTGATAAACAACAGAAGGGCTGACATTCTGATGTTGATTATTTTTTTGTTGTCCCCAAAATATCCCAAAGCGTCTGGGCAAAACTGTGCACATTTAATTTACGGAGGCCGGCGCTTGACAGTGTCCAATGGCAATGTTTTCTTCATTTTGCAGTGCTATTGAAGATATCAAGTGGTTTAGAACAAAAGAGGAATGTGACAATACATGATTTTCTTTTAGTAAGTCTGGAACTAGTTCCAGACATTCAGGTTTTTCTGGACTTGAGCCTAAATTAAATTTTTTACAAGTCTGGAATTACTTCCAGCGAACCGGTACACAGCATTACTCACAGTGTAAATATATTGTTGAGTATGTAGTAGTTTCTTGTAAGCTCAAGTTTCTGAAACATGTCTCCTTTGTGACCCACAGCTGCCAGAGGCCGTGGACGGGGAAGAGGCAACGTTTTCCAGAGAAGAAGGTGATGGGGGAAACCAACGTCAGCCACACAGAAGCAAGGGCTTCTAAACAAGTCCTCTTTTTTTTGTATACTCTTTTTCATTTCATGTAGAACTGCACTTTATACTAGCAGTTCTGTCATGTCTAGTAGACCGACATCACTGGACGTACTGTAATATTTTGTTTCACTTGTAGGGTGTATGTTAAGTAGCTTGAAGAAACTTTTGTAAACTAAGATCACCAGGAAAAGTTGAGGCATGGACGGGAAATTTCTTCCCTTGAACTTGAAGAAAAAGTAACATTAAGCGACAAAAAAGATGTATTCAGATACTGATTACCAGTGGAGACCCAGCTTTGGATACAAGGGATCTTTCCTTTCTGTACCTTATAAGTTGTACCAGTTTATGAATCATTTAGTGTGAAACAGTAGCTTTAATTAAACTAAATTCTTGTTGAGGCTGACAGTCTTATTATGGTTAAGAAATTGTCTAATCTAAGCCACAAGCTTCTAAAACTTATGGTCTCTTTAGCTGTTTTTTTTTCTTTTCTGGTACTGGTATGGAAGAAGCATCAATGTTAAGTAACTCACAAGGTTATCTCAAATTTTCCATGATGACTCAAGAATGAAAGCAAAGACTTGACTGGTGTCAATAAAGTCTTGAAAAATTCCCATATGTTGGCATTCATATATCATACATGTAAATGATTTTGTTATACATTTATTAATAATAGACGGACCCTTTGAAAAAGGCAAAGTTGGGTCCACATTCCAGAAGACAGATTTTGTATTGGTCTCTTTAGATATGGTTAGATGGCCAATGATGGCAAGTGGTAATAAAACACCTGTCTCGTGTCAAAATTGCAGATGTTTTATGATAATACTAGTAGTGTTAGACTAGTTTATTTGCACAATAAAATATAAACAAAATAAGTGGAAAATTATACAAAAGATAAAGTGCAGGAGGGGGCAGAAAGCCTACAGGGCTTATACAAGGCCCTCCTTCCAAACTTACTTAAATGATCATGAAATTAATATAATTGAAAAGAAATTAATGGAAAACAAAGACACATGTATAGCATAGAAAACTAATACATGTAACAATAATGATGTAAATGAATGAAACTAATAATTGCACAAATGAATTAACGGAAACAAAGATATAGCAAAGGAAACTAATACATGTACATTTAGATATTTTAGCAAAGCAGCTCACTAAAAACATTTAACGGGAACGAAAGCAAAATACTAGTAATTGATACAACTGAAATATTGCACAAATGATTTTAAAAAGCATTACCGGGGGTAGGTATAACCAAAATGTAACACGTAACAGTATACAGGGCTTGAAATACTGGGTGCATGTGCACCTTAATGCACCCAAACTTGGAGCTGTGCACCCAGTTTTTTTTCAAATATTTTCGTAGTTTTACGTATGTAAAGATATTAAATGTATAGTAGTATACAGGATATTCTTATCATCTAAGTCTCAGAAAAATCATAAAATCATTGTTGTAGTACTTTCTTTAGAAATTAAACATAGTTATTGCTGACATTCTAGTTAATCTATTTTATATGGTGCAGTGCACCCAAAAAAATTTTTGTGCACCCAATCTTTTAGGTTGGGTGCTCCAGTGCACCTATTCCCCAACATGAATTACAAGCTCTGGTATGTCTTTAGCAGAATAAGAAATTCATTCAATTCACAACCAATAAAGATGATAAAGGACAAAATGCTTTTAGATAATGATACTAATTATACAACACAATGTAACTCACTAAGTAGAGGGGATCATTCCATACAAGTATACATTTAAATTTCACACTCATCTGAGCCCGGGAGGTTCTGTATAGGGGGATGTACAATTGAGAGGTACATGTTCAATGAAAGTGACAACAATTTAGCACTCCCAATTTGGTTGAGCATTGCTTGTGGCACTGTGCTTCCAAGTACTAGTAGGAACTTTTTCTACCCTACAGTACGCAAGTTACTAGTAACACTGATCAACACTGCCAGACAGAGAATTTTTTGTTTGCTCAATGGCCATTGTTCCGGACCCATATCTCAAGAAAACACCACATTGTGTGCGCTCTTTCAAGCATATTTACGTTACTTGACAGGTTTTCCAGGTAATGCACAGGTAGATTTAACTACATATTGCTGTGAGACAACCCACCAGTATGGCTTTTTAACAGGTGTCCTTGGGAATATAATAACATTTAAAAGTGCCTTTGAAGCTTCCGGATTCCTGTTACCCACAATGCCTGAGGCTGTCAGGTAGTCACGTGGTAACAAATGGAGTAGTCCAAAGCATGGGCTAGAGGTAATGTTAAATTAGGCTAGAGGCCTTGAAAAATCTACCCGTGGTAGTTTCTTCTTTGAGTTTCGAGTTTACAATGAATGCAATTGCTGCAGACGTGATAAGGTTCACATTCAAAGCAGTTTTTGTGATAACTGGTTCTTTCTGGCCAACGTATACACATGTAGTTGGTATAATCCAAAAAGTGACGTTGCATGGCGAACTGTAGCAGTCAGTTCAAGACAGCTCACAAGGTGGGTGCAGTGTTTTTTAGTTTCAATAATGCAATCGTCTGTGAGTAAAATCGCCTCAGGTATATTCACGTGTCACTGCCCGTGTACATGTCAACACCTTATGTTTATATATTGTCACTATGTAAATACAGGAGGATATACATGTGTACAGGTACACACAGCTTTTAAGTGACGCAATGGATCAATGGGAGGGGGGCATGTGACGACTAAAAACTAATCAATCCGCCATATTTGTTGTGTAGTGTGTTTTTTTCTCTGCAAATATTGAGTTTTAGTGAAGTTGTGTTTGGATGTGGCAACTTTTGATGGTTGACCAGTACTAGTAACTATTGTGTGGTGTTTGTTCTGCTCCCTTTTGCTTGTGGTTTGTTATCAGCACCTGACTTGACATTCCAACTACGTAACCAGTTCTCAAACAGATCACGTGCCGTAGAAAACCACAAACCACACAGTAGACCACAAACCGGTGTACTACATATTTCTGCACCCAGCTACTATTTGCGGAAATTTTCTCTTCAACAATATATATTAACTCTTACTAGAGCTGTGTACCTAAACAATTTTAGGTAGAGGTTCTTTTCATTGGTTCTCTTAAGAAACATGTCCGGACCTGTACCTAAACAGATTTGGTCAATCCTTTGTAAGTTATACATGTAGCCAACTTTGTCGTTTATCTTTTGAGGGATTACATATTTTCGTAAGGAATATTTAAAAAAGAATATTTACACAATTTTTCTGATCTTCAAGAGTTAAATTGTCATCTATGAGAAATAATTTACCTACTTTCAGTGTAAAAATGGTGTCCACTTGTGTTTCATTCAGATACCGGTACACCTAATAGTAATATTCAGGTTTGGATCTGAATCAAGTGATAGATATTTTTCCAGGTACAGGTATAGGTATTAGATACACAGCCCTAAACCTGACTATTGGCTTAGGATTTAGACTGGACTGCGAATTTAATTTTGCCTCAGTAAGTCTGGTAATGCTCAGCATTAACCCTCAAATTGTCACGGGCCAATCTAATTGGCCCACTCAATTTTAGTGTTAGTAATAACAGGCCTGAACCCATACGTCCTGGGTTAAAATCCTCCAACATGCCCCAGTGTTATGACCCTGGGAAAGAACTTTTACACACACAAACTTGAAACACTTGAGAAGAGACAGGCGACCCTCTGCACGAAGTTTGCCCACAGCATGACAACATCGGAGCGCACAGCAGATCTCCTGCCCAACACACGGCGACAGGAGCACGGCAGATACCTCAGAAACTCTGACAAAATGACTCTTGCGCCTTGCCGGACTGCTCGGGTACCAAAGCAGCCCTGTACCATCTCTGTTGAGACTGATTAATACGAACAAATAATAAGTTGTAAATCAGCCACACTCAGATGTTTAGTTATTGTAAAATTCTATTTCAATACTTGGTAATATTTTATGCTATTTGTTAAATTGAGTTGTGCTATGTAATATTTTATGTACTATGTAAGTGAAATGTACTTCAGCTTGATGGCTGCAATGTTTTACATAATAAATCAGTCATTCATTCATTCAACTTTCCTCACTTAACTCAGCTTGCAGGTGAAAAGAGTATTACCTGGATGGAGGCATAGCAAGCCCCTGTCTTGTATTAGCCAGCCCTAGATATGTGAGCCATAGCGAAGCCACATTGCACTGGGTAGCTATTGATTTTTTTAGCATTCATGGTACCCCTCAGAGCTGATTCACAGTGGAGGATGACAAAAGAAGATGAGTATGATTTTATTATTATTGAAAACGTCTTGAAATTGAAAATTTATTTCGATGAATTCTCTTTTGTTCTTTTCAGCCATCGAAAGAAAATGGATCCAAAAGCTGCAAGAGTAGGTGACAGTATGCTGGGCAGAGAAATGCGAGAGGATAGAAGGAACGAGTCAACAACACAAGACTCTGGTTTTGACAGTGTTAATAGTATGGATGGAAATCTTCCAAGAAATGCTGGAGTGGTTGGTGACACAGAGGTGAAGACATCAGGAAATACATGTGGAGCAGGAGAGGACATGAGTGAAAATGACCCTGAATTGAAGAACCCTGTAGCAGACACCAGAGTACCGGAAGCTGATTTAAAAACTGACACAGGGGCAAGAGCTGTGGCCTCTTTGTTTGAGAGGATAGCATTTTGTGCAACTGAAGCAGCAAATGAGTCCCGGCGTCACCGTGATGGCGATGAAATGGACCGTTCTGTGTGGCAGACAAATATGACAAAGATACGTGACCTAATGATGCAGATTATTAATAATGCTGGCTCTGAAGTTCAAGATAGTCAGGACTTGTTGGCTAGTTGGTCTATGCCAAGAACTGATGCCAACATGTTGTCAGCACATGCTGCTGTACCACCACCTACAACCAGCCAGGTGCCAAAACATGATGTTGTACATGTACCACCAACATGTACAACCGGCCAGGTACCAGCACATGAAGTTGTACCACCACCTACAACTAGCCAGGCGCCAGAACATGATGTACCACCAGCTACAACTGGCCAGGTGCCAGAACATCATGTTCTACCACCAGCTACCACCAGCCAGGTACCAGAACATGAAGTTGTACCACCACCTACAACCAGCCAGGTTCAGAACATGAAGTTGTACCACCACCTACAACCAGCCAGGCGCCAGGACATGAAGTTGTACCACCACCTACAACCAGCCAGGTGCCAGAACATGAAGTTGTACCACCACCTACAACCAGCCAGGTGCCAGAACATGAAGTTGTACCACCACCTACAACCAGCCAGGTGCCAGAACATGATGTTGTACCACCAGCCTACAACCAGCCAGGTGCCAGAACATGAAGTTGTACCACCACCTACAACTAACCAGGTGCCAGAACATGAAGTTGCACCACCACCTACAACCAGCCAGGTGCCAGAACATCATGTTCTACCACTAGCTACCACCAGCCAGTTACCAGAACATGAAGTTGTACCACCAGCTACAACCAGCCAGGTGCCAGAACATCATGTTCTACCACCAGCTACAACCAGCCAGGTGCTAGAACATGATGTTGCACCACCACCTACAACCAGTCCAGGTGCCAAAACATGATGTTGTACATGTACCACCAACATGTACAACCGGCCAGGTACCAGCACATGAAGTTGTACCACCACCTACAACTAGCCAGGCGCCAGAACATGATGTACCACCAGCTACAACTGGCCAGGTGCCAGAACATCATGTTCTACCACTACCTACCACCAGCCAGGTACCAGAACATGAAGTTGTACCACCACCTACAACCAGCCAGGCGCCAGGACATGAAGTTGTACCACCACCTACAACCAGCCAGGTGCTAGAACATGATGTTGTGCCACTTCCTACAACCAGCCAGATACCACCACCTGCAGCGAGTCTGCTCTCAGTTCATAGGGGTTCAGCTGCAGCCAGCTTGGTATGTTGATCTGTTACAGTTCTACATTTTCTATGAATTAGTACCCATTTACTTATTTCCTGCTTCAAATATTATATGTTATCTGTGGCTGCTAAAAAATCTATGATGTTTTTCTCACAGATACAAGAATCTATCTTTGAAGACTTTGAAGGGTTGCCTGATGAAGAATTGTATGTTAATGCAACAGGTATGGTATTACAAACAATACTTAAAGCTTTATTTGCTTTGTTTTATGTGCATAAGGTATTTTTCCTCAATGACGATGATAGAAAGTTGACATTCTATCATGATGATAAGGTATTTTCTGTGTGTAAATTGTTCCCCCTAGTAGCCGCCTAGTGTTCACATTGTGCTGTTTTTTTTTGTAATCTTAATAAGGTTTCTCCAAAGAATGGGTTCAATATTTGCAGCCAAGAAAGATATGCAAATATGTCGAATCATTGCCATACAAAGATTAAAAAAAAGATTTTCAAGGCTTAGTATGAATGGGACCTTGTGTGGTAATGACAAATGTGTGTATTGTACTGATAGTCACTGATCAAAATGTATGTTTGGTCCAGAAATACATGTAGATCCACATATTAAGAAGGACATATATTCAAAATGTAGATCATGTTATTTTTTTTTTGCTAATTAGCACCCCCACAGGATGTTGTGGATTTCCGAGCCCTGACACCAGCTGCTGGACCAATGTAAGTACTGTACATTCATTTTGAGCCTTTGGATGGTTGGTGTTTAATGTTTCATCATTAATTGCTCCTTGCAATCACGTGTTTACAGAATTATGTCAAAGTTACATGAGGTGCTAATTTGCTGTCAGTCAAATGACATATAGTCAAACCTGTCCAAGGCGACCACCCAGGGGATCAAAGAAAAGTGGTCACCTTGGACAGGTGGTCTCCTTGAAGAGGGTCACCTCACAACACCACTGAGGCATAAATGGTTAACTTTCCAATTCGAGATGTTTTAATGTCAAATGCTGTAGGCTTCTTCAGTTCAGTGAATGCATGTGGGGAGGGTGGCACATGGCACAATTTACATCAAATGGAAAACATCATCCAGTAATTGAGGCAAACTGGCTGGTTTCTCTGTGATTAGTTATCATCAATAATCAATGTAATCGAAAATGATGTGGTGGCCATGGGCAGGTATCAGGCCTTGAGTGGACCCAACTTACAGCAGTCACGGTCGTATTGGCCAGGTGGTCACCTTGGACAGGTTGCTTAATGCTTGGGTCAATGGGGAAAATTTTTGAGACCGAGAAAAAGCGGTCACCGGGGCCAGGTGGCCAGCTTGAAGAGGTGGCCAGGTTTGACTGTAATTCTATTTTTTTAACACTGTTTCCAATAGCACAAGGAAAAAATTACAAAATTAGGAAAGTGGAAAGGCAAATAATTCCAGACCTTCTTACTATTTTGCAGATCTTTGCTTGAAGAGATAAGGCAAAGGCATCAGCAAGCCATCAGGTCAAGATCTGAAGAAAGAACTTCAAGGCAACAGCGTCTTCGAGTTCAGAGACATGATGCGAGCCCAATTCATCAGCAGATTATCAACCATTATCTCAGTAACCCCCAAGCCGTTTGGTATGAGCAGTTTGTGGTATTTGATGGGGAGCAAGGCATAGATTGTGGGGGACCAAGCAGGGAAGCTTTCACACTGTTTTGGCAAGAAATCGAAAAAGAGTGGCTTACGCATGGAAGCCTTCCTTGTGTAAGCCCTGAATTAGAGCCATCGTCATTTGAGTTCTGGCAAGCTGTGGGCCGTTACACTGCTCACATGTTTGTGATGCACAGGTTGTTCCCTGTGTGCTTGCCCTTGTACTTGGTAAAAGCAATGTTTAATGGCATGGATGAGCTTCACAACACCAATAATGACCAATTTGAAAATATTTTCAAACACGACATCTTGCCAAGTAGTGCCAGACCTTCCCTGCTTGCTGCCCTTAGGGACACACCCACTTTTGAGCTGAAGAAAAAAGACATGTACATGACTTTGGTAGAATTTGGTGTGGCCACTTGCCCATCTACAAGAGAAGACCTAGAAGCTTTGTTGCCAAGAGTAGCTCGTACTGAGTGCCTTGCTGGTCCCTATATTGCCATCTGGGGTCTTATCACTGGGTTTCAGGAAGTGTGGAATACGGGGGGTGTTAATGTGTGTAAGGAAGAAATTCGTGAACTGCTGAACAGCCTCAAACATCCCATCTCAGGTGAGGATGTTCTGTCTGTCCTGCAGTATGATACAACTGAGTGCGAGGATAGCCAGTCTGGGGCACAAATGACACAGTTTGTGCAACAGTGGGTTCACAATGCTGACAGGGTGTTGCTGAAACACTTCCTATTTGTAACAACAGGAAGTGACAGACTGCCCGACAGACCGTTACACATCAGGTTCAAACCTAACTCTGCCCGTGTAGAGATTTGCACTTGTGCACCCAGTTTGGATATGCCTGTGACTGCAGACTTCAGTTCATTTGAAGTGATGATGAAAAGTCTGTCTGACAGGGTACAGGTAACAGAGAACTTCAATGCTTTGTAAATATCATGTTTGTTACTGAGGTTTGTTTGATATTAGATTTGCCAATTCTTGCAGTTTCAAACTACCTAAACCAAAAACAAACAGCAAAAAGCAAACATTTCTCTACCGCGCCATTAATCTATGGAACACCATGCCACCCAGTATCCAAACACTGACCAGTCCGCATCAATTCAAAAAGGCCATCCACCAGTTGTACATACATGTAAGTTAAGTTGTATATATTAAGTTAAGTCATGATCGTTTTGTTTAACCTGTACATAATTTGTGATGATTATGTATGTTCATTCTCTTTTAATTTCGCTGTCAGTATGTTTGACAATGTATGTTTATACGTTTTGAACCCTGGAAGACTAGTCATGGACTAAAGGGTATGGAAATAAACGAAATAAACAAGGTCAGTATGACAATGTCATACCAAAACTGTTACAATGAAATAATGGCTTAACTTTATGTTCCAAAACTTAAACTGAATTTAACTGTCCCATCTGTAATGCAATGACATTTGTCCACATCTGTCGGCAAAGGGTGCTTTTCCAAAGTGTTTTCCAACACTGGATAGGAATGCTAAACTTGTTCAGAGGTTACTATGTTGTTGTATATTATTATGCTGTTGTCCAATGATGTGTGTGGACAATTATGATTGTGCATGGATTTTATTGTTTCATCAGTACTGTGACAGGCATGAACTATGACGTATTGCTGGCCAGCCAGTTTATCCTTTAGTAGCTCATTTATACATGTATGTATTGGAGTTATGCAGTAGCTGGTGAGAGCAGCTTAGAATAATTAGTCATTCCGCTGTGGCCAGTTCTCCAGGTTAGTGACACACGCTGTAGTTAACTTCGATGGTAGATTGTATCTGAGTTCAAGGATCACTTCCAACGGTAATCATATGTTGTATATTCGCATAGGTAACAACCACTGTTGTAGATCTGTAACTTGTAAGCAGATCATATATGTGCTGCTGACCTTCCTGGTGTGAGCGGTTCAAACCTTACAGTATTTGAGGGTCGTATTGAGGTCACCTGAGTTAGCGCCCAATGGCAGCCGCTCCAGACCCTTGCTATTAAGCTCCAATAATTGTAAGCTCCTCCCAATTCAGCCCTTGGCTACAAGGAGAGAGTAGCCGGCCTACCCAATAACCTAATTATGTTAAACTTGTAGTGAACATGCAGAATTCAGTCACAATACAGCTATACATACAGTAGCAATCAGCCTGGCTCAGTGTCTTCTGTCTCTACTTATTGAGTAACTTAAACGCTTGGATACTTTGCAATAGTCCAATGGATATATCACAAGGCATTTTTACTTCCAACTATTCGTCCATTATTTCCCACAAAAATCTGAGTATCCTGAAATTAAGCCGGCATCGCTCTGTACAAATGACTTGCCAAACTTAAGGCAAAACTTCTCACTTCCTGCACTGTGAGCACCTCCTTCCCAGTTAACATCCCAACTTTCTACAACTGCTGTAGCTATTTTGATAGGGATGGCTATTAGTAAGTTCTTGATGGTCACTCTTAACCCTAATATAAAATGTAAATACACGTGGATGCATTCTTGATCAGAATAAATGGTCGAAACCGGTCGAATTCCGTCTCAACGTTGTCATCTTCCCATCGCTACGAATGATACACGTGGATGCATGCATTATTATCTGAGAACCCACCAATTATGTGGTGATACATCCAAAAAGCTTCAAATATGCTACGTTGTACTTTCTAATTATTCAATGGCAAATCATAAAGGTCATTAATAGAATTTAAGAAGTACATGACACAGCAGATAGAAATGTGACAAACTTTAATTTGACAGAACGGTGTCACATATTGTAAACTGTGTCACTTAAATCTATAACAAACACACTATATTCTTATATGGAAGAAACATAAAAAATATAGAATTTAGTTAATTAGTAATACAATCTTTTCACAATTGTCAGAAAATTCTAACAAATTTAGGCACTGAATGTTATAATTGTATAAAAGTGCATCCTAGTTTAAACAACGTTAATTCAAAACTCAACAAAACAGTTACCAAAATGGCAATGTCTCCACTGTCGCTGAAGTGGACACACAATATAAACAGCTGCACTTGCACATGATTTAGTAAATGTTGTCTTTATGACAAAACGAGAACAAACACTATTGACCTACACTACTCCTACACTAGTCTAAACCAACAGACAACATCAGTTATTTGCACAATTTTCTGTGAAGCGAATTAACGACACCTAGTGTCAATAGACTGGTTCTTAATGCTTGACCTAGCAAGCAAGGAAAGTCATGTGCCTATATAGTCCAAAGTAATGCATCGTCCTAGATCATGATTTCATGGCTAGATCCCGAAGGTAGCGGTTATTACGGTTCTCTTACCGTTGGCTCTTTCTTTTCTTACATCTTGAACTACAGCAAAGTTGTAAAACTGTATGGAATGACAATGCCTCACTACCAAGTAAGTACACTGGTAGGTAGGCCCTGTCAATGTTTCAGTCAAAAGAGTCAACAACAGGTAACAGTATTTAACAAAACAAACATTGAACTGGAATGTTGATCTCACAGTGCCTGTGAGGTACAGATCTAGACAGTACACTTAGACCCCTGAACCTGTTCCATGCTGGTTTGAGCCAGATGGTACCGGTTGGTTCAGGTCAAAACCAGACCCCTGTGCTGCCAGCTGCTGCTGGTTTCCAACAAAGAACTGGAAGAAGCCAGAGAGTCCCTCAGTGCTGGTGGTCTGATGGCTGGGCCTCTGTCGCAATGTACACGGGCAACGCTGTTCTCCCAAGGCACCGGCAAAGTAGCAGGTATTGCATTTCTGGAATTATAGCAAAACAGTGAAAACTAGAAACTTTAAGGTAACATTTGGAGAGCAAATGCAAAATTTTTACCTTCACACAATCTAGCCTAACAAACTACTGCTCTGTTTATTCTTCCTCAAAATTTTGATATGTGTATATATATTGACCAGCCCCTCCAACTCTGTCATGCAACTTGCTACATAATGTAATCCAATACCACAGGTTACCATTATGACAGGCATCTGGTACAGATTATTGACCTTACGTGTTTGGAGAGGAAGAAGAAGAAACAGCAAAAACAAGGTTTTCCTTCTGCAAAGGTAAACCTAAATAGTGATGCAATGGCATTTCAGCACCAAGGAGAGAGGTCAACTGAGACTATACATAAAAGCACAGATTGCACCACAGAGCAAAAAGAGCCTTTAAAAATGTCACTGTCTTTACTCAGTCAACACAATTTGTTCTCATCTCTTGAATCAATGCATATTTTTACAGTCTTGATAAGAATTTAACATATGCAATTCATGCAACTACCAAGTTTGAGACTTTGGCATGCTAACTCTCAGTCCAATTCTCAATGTTAAGTTATAAAAATCTTCCATGATCCATGAATGTCCCCAATTGTAGGGTTCACCATCCTCACCTGACAGTGTACATCCCTAAAGTCCTTGCACTTGCGGCATTTCGTGCAGTGATTTCTTGGCCTCTTATTCTGGTCACACAAGTCAAAGCTGGAAGACAAAATGAAGTTTGTCTTAAGTTAAGACCCACATGTCTAATTTCTTGGTCCTAGCTTGAACATTCAAATAATTAGAAGGAAAACCCATCTTTGATAAATACGCTATGCATTTTGGTTTTTGCACCATGTATGTGTAAAATGTGTATATATCTATTACAACTTTTATAAATGATGCCATTTAGTGTAACACACGCAGGCACACGGTGCGGCAGCAGCTGGTTATATTACACCGAACAACTTGTTACGCCTAACCTTTGAACATCTAACTCTAAATATTGTTTAAAGCTATCCAATGATAATGCCCCCACTGTACTTTGTGACAGCGAGTTCCACTCTGTGATAGTTCTAGGCAACAATGAGTTTTTGAATACCTCAATCCTTGGTTGATAACCCTGGTACTTGTAAGGCATGACTATTTCTTGTTCTTTTCTGAGCTGGTACTAGGTACTTGAAAAAGTGGCTTGCATTTCTGCCCAACAAGTTGGTAACATTAGGCCATAGACAGATAGCAGCCTTACTTGCACCAGGAGTAGGCGTACACGGCCTTGTGTTTACACTCGGGACAGGTGCGGTAGCCCGGGATCATGTCCAGCAGCTGTACCATGGCTCCGCAGCACGGCAGGTGGTACAGCGTCTGCAGGTGCTGACGCAGGTTTGACACCTGGGAAAATACAAAACATTACATTGAATTTCATTTTTCTTGCTTGTTTCTTTAAAAAGATGGTGACAAGGACAATAAAGCTTTACCAACTTCCCTTGCAATCCAGTTAAAGAAAAATATCTAACCTAAAGACACACCAATTTAATTTTATGGTTCTTTTTTTTCTGATTTGCAAAAAAAGTATGGTATGTAGACTTTGGCCATCAGACAGTCTAGTAGAAATCTAGGAATGAAAAATGAATACAATCCAGCCACACAAATAAATAATACACAGACACAGCACACACAGATATCAGGGTCTATGGAAAAATCCAACCATTAGGCCACACCAATTTAAATTGTTGTTTCTCGGATTCGCCCTGTCCATTTTTTTCTGATTTGCAAAAAAAAAATTTTGTTTGTTCTAAATCAACTGCAAAATGCTAAATGAAAGACATGTTTTGGCCCCAACGGTTGAAGAAAGTCCTTTTCTTCCTAGTTGTTAAAGTTTTTCAATGTAACAGTGCAATTTTGTTTCATTAAAAGTTCAAAATCTATTGTTTTAATTATACACCAGCCAGGTATGTTCACTTAATGGCTCATATTGTAACATATCATGGGGTGCCTTGGCCTGTTTTTTTTTGCCCTGTCGCTCCATATTTTTCCTGAAAAAATCCGAGAAACAACTAATGAAATTGGTGTGGCCTTACCTTCGCAAAGTTGACCACGAGGCAGTCATCCTCCAGTGCCTTGTCAGCGTCCACGCCGAACTGCTTGAGGATCATGAGGGGGTTGTTACAGTTGGTGCAGGAGCAGCTGGGCTCGCAGGGACGCATGCAGCTCCAGCAGCCGCAGCGGCGTGACGAGCAGCCCGTACTGCAGCTGCAGCTGTCTGACGGGTGGTACCGCTTGGCTGGAGGTCCCACTACATCTACAGGAAGGTACAAGGCAGTATATTCAGGCTATCAGATTATCCTACCAAGTACCTTAGCTGAACATACTACACCTGGATGTGCGAAACCAGTAACATGCAGAGCACATTGAAGAACATCTTGGTTTAAGGTAGCATTTGCATATTTACGGATGACATCCCATCTTTACATGTAGTTTTCAAATGTTGTCACCAGACTGCAAGATATGGTCTGCAATGAGCAAATTTCTGATCCAACATTGACAAACATCTAACAAAAACTGTGAAAAACAGGTGATACAGTTCCTTTACAAATCGATTTGAGGTAATAATAATACTAAATCTACAGAATCATGCACTTAAATAGCATTACAACCAGTGTTCTTCCTTATTGTCACGTCAAAGTTCTTACTGTTTCTTATACAGTTGAAATTCACTGAATATTGAAAAATCTTGTCCGATCTAACAAGATTCTTTGAGCCTAAGTGATCTGTAAGCTGAAAATTCGCTGTGGGACATCATATCTGTCAGTTAATACCAGAGTATGTAACAGACAATCTTAGTCTTAGGCATTTCAAGTGAATAGTCCAAGTCCCTACCTCCTTCCTGCCCCTCCCCCCTGGGTTTGAGAGGATAGCTGGGGGGCTGGGTGACGACAGGGACGGGGCGGGACTCCTGTTTCACGGCCAGGCGCTTGTTGGGGTCCACGGCCATCGGAGTTCTCATCATGGTGACAAAACCCGGGTCAAACTTCTCCAGACACTCCTGCACCTTCCTCACCGCAGACATGGAGCGCAGCTCAATCTGTGTGACAAAACAATGTCAGTCAATCAGTCTTTTAGACTGTGTTTCAACTTGAAGTTACAAATTACAAATTGAGCATGAATATGATGTCATGGCCAACTTTCTGCAGTGTAGTGCTTGTGTGGTTGTTCAATGCTGTTGTTGCAATCAGTTAATTTCAAATTTTAGTAACACCTTCATTAAAGGGAAACTTAATAAAGAGGAAGCAGTCATCATCCCTGGAGGTGAACCATGATACTTTCTGAAGTAGCTAATGGTGCAATGTGGCTTTGTTACAGCTTGTATTTACAGCTAAGCATGTTGGATCAACCCTACACTTCTCGATAAGTGTGTTGAGGTTAATGCCTGAAGCCCATTCATACATGAGACAGCTGGCTTTACGTAAACATCTGAAATGATTGCAATCCCTAACAACATGTCTGAACTAAACTGAACCGACGCTGTAATATCAAACTTGCGTCCACTGAATTTGTCCCCTGAATTTGACCCATATAGCCAACCGGTGTGATTGCGTTACCGATTGCACTACAGGGACATGCTATCATGTTAAAAAATTGATTACTAAATTCTTATGCAAAACAGGCTTTGAAGCTAAGCTGGCCAAAAAACTGCATAATACAACATCTACACCTATCAATACAAAGTTCTCACTGTGTGGTAGGGTATAGTCTGTAGCTGTCCCCCGGTGATGTCGGCTCGCTGGTCCCTCCTGTAGCGTGCTGCCCTCCCCCACATGGTCTCACCCCCACGTGGGCACACTCTGGTGCCGAAGTACATCATGGGAGCTTCAGACACCTCCAGAGTTATCTTGTCCAACTGTGGTAACAGAGATGTCAGACAGTCAGGCACCAAAAAATCAAGAACAATTAGCTCGTCCAGGACAAAAGTTAAACCAAACGTTCTACTGCAGTACCGAGGAAAGTCACTAGAAGGACCAAAATTTAACTTGACCTTCAAACAAAATCAACCTTGACCTTCGTCTTCCCAAGACCTACCCACATACCAACCTAGATGCAACAACCATGTCACTGAGTATAAACCAGGCTTGGCCCTGATACTTAGAATTGTTTAACCTTGTCCATGCTGCCTAACCCCGTAACCAATACAATAGAGAATTGGTAGTCAAACGAGTACTTCAGTGTGTTAATGTTTATAAGTATGCCTTCTCTCCTATGTAAAAAAAGTAAGTATTTCACTTTCACATACAATTAGTAATAGAGAGACAAGTGAAAGGATATTTTCCCACCAATGGTTTTGTCTGAAAAGTTAATCCAATTAAAGTTGATGGACAGCCATTTATAGTCAATACAAAGTCAACAATTTCAAATTCAACTCTTTTCCTCAAGCCCAATGAATACCATCAACAGTGTGTATTACACACAGCAACACCCCACCCCTTTACGCCATTACAGGAGTCAATCTGATGGTTACAGATATAACAGACGTCTCACCTGAGCATTGATGCCGACGATGATCTTGAATGGAATCTCCACACTTGCCAGCTGCCTCATCCCCATGTTATGGGCTCTCACTACCGAATTCAACTGGAACTCGTACACCAGTTTCCTACCATGTAGACACACAGGAAAGCTGTGACAGTAATACCAGGCTCAAAATACCTTTTCTCTGCGAGTAAAATTACCTCTACCAGACAAATTTTATCTCTAACACTCAAGTATGTGTCATGCTATATGAAAACTGTTCAGAAACCATTCCCATTATTTCTTTAACACTGTTGACAGTCAATACAGCAAAAGAAAGATCAAAATCCACAAACACCTACATACATGGAGTATGTGTATATAAACCCAGTGCATTGGCAAGTCCAGGTAGACATTTAAGATAGCAGGTCATAAAATCAGCTTTAGGACAGAAACAAAGACCAGTTAAGAAAAAAACACACCTTGATGCAAAGAGGAGCTTGATCTTGGCAGTCTGTCCAACATCACTGCCTTTGTGTTCAACCTGTGTTGTACAAACAATAACAATCTTGTAAAATGGCTTGACAGGTAATGTTTGTGAAGAACAAAATGGCAGTTTTCTAAAGGTTTCTAAGGCCACACCAATTTAATTTTTGGTTACGGATTTTTCTAGAAAAAAAATGGAGCGGGCGGGTGAAAAAAATAAAAACAGGCCTAGGCATCCTATTATGGCCCAAAATACGATAGGAGCCATGAAGTCAACACACCAGGCTGGTTCAAAATTTAAACAATGAATTTTGAACTTTTAATTTTACCACTGCATTGAAAGATGGAATGACTGTTACAGTAACAAGTAGAAAGAAAAGGACAGTTTTCAACTGTTCAGGGCAAAATGGTCAGTTGATTCTGAATTTTTATTTTTATTTGCAAATCAGAAAAAAATGAAGCGGCGAATCCGTTAACCAAGGAATTAAATTGGTGTGGCCTAATACTTTATTGCAAAACCAGGCAAATTGCAAGGGAACACACTGTTATAACAAGGTAAAACAAATCAAGACTACTTAATTTCCTTGTTTCCTCACCTTCCATGTTCCGACCTGTATGACCCTGAACTCGTAGTGCCTTGGTGGGTACATCCTGGGGTCCACCTTCTGCTTAGACGGTGTTGAGATGTGGCCTGTTGTCGACTCTGCCACCTCACTTCTCACCCCTGCAACATAGAGGCCGTTAGGACTAGGAAAATACATGTTGTGTTTCCAGTTACAGTCGAGAAAAAATTTGGGTCAGTAGGTAGGGATTGTCTTTTTTCTTTTCTTTTTTTTTAGATTTAGGATGAACTGATTCAACACAGATCAAGGTAAAACTGAATGCATATTTCACCCAATTTACTCAATAAAAATTTTCTTTTGAAAATAAACTGTACTGTGAAATCTGGTGAAAAAATGTTTCAATGTCTGATCGAAAATTTTATCAGCAGACAAAAAAAAGGCTCAAGTCGTTTTAAAGGTGTTTTTTGATAGGGTCAGTCAGGAAACTAGAAACAATTGATTTACATTTCTTTCACATTTGACTTACCTGTAGGCTGTGCAATCTCTACGGCATTCAATGTCGTTGTCGGTTTTCTTTCCGTAGTTTGAACAGCAGGGTTTGCCTGGCTGATGGCTCCTGTACCTGCATCTGTCAGCAAAGTCATCCCCGACTGAGACAGCATGGAACTGTCCTGCACAGATGACGACGAGGCCACCTGGCTTCCTGTGACAGTACTGCAGCTGTTGTTGACTGACAGGCTGTTCTCCAAACTCTCCAGCCCCGAGAGGGAAGAGATGCTGGCAGAGGCTTGAGGTTTCCCGAGTGCTGCTTGCTGTAGGTGCTGCCTGAGCAGGGAGGTTGACTTGCCGGGCGTCGGTTGCAGGTGTCCCGGATACATCTGCCTCCAGTTCACCTGTTCAGCTGCTGGCAGCCTGCTTGCACCTGGAACTGATGTGGATTCCACAGCCGGGTAATAACGGTTTGAACTTGTCCCTGCTGCAGATCTTACAGAGCCGCTGCGAGACGTGAACAATCCACCGGTGGATTGGGTTGACGTGTTTGGGACAGTAACGCCGGATTCGGTGAAGCAGCCGATCATGTTGTAGCGGACCGAGACAGAATTAGCGTTGTTTGCCTGTGCCGTGTTTCCCGACTGCGTGTTGTGAGAAGAACTCGCTGGCAGCCCTCTTGGCTTCCTCAACAGGCCGCCCGAGTTGCCTCTCATCGGAGCAGTAGTCATGTAGGAGCTGTATGTGGAGCTAGTGGGGATGGCATTGTAGACCGGGCAGCTGTGACTCAACTCTCCCGCAGCGCCGCCCTGTATCACGGGAAAGGGCGTAGATACCGCGGGGAGTTCCCCAGTGTTGCACAGTTGTGCAGTTGGATCGTGGAATGTTTTCTGGACTTGCTGAAAACTGTCTCCCGAGTGGGACGGGTTTGTGTAAGGCTGTCTGATGTAACCTGTCTGGTACTGTGCCGAGGAGAGAGGGTCTGGTCTGACCGGGATGAAGAGGTAGCCTGACTTGTTGTTGTTGATGCCCTTGTTGTTGCCAATCCCTTGGATCTGTCCGTGCTGCATGATGTCCTTGCGGATGACCGGAGCAGCCATTCCCGGGGTGTGGGGGACGTACAGGAGGGTGGGGGGACCCGGTGTGCCGGCAGCGTCCGGCGGTCCTGGAACGAGGTACACCAGGAACTGCTGACCGGGTAGGATGGAGGACAGCGTTTCCGCCTGCTCTTGTGCGGCCTGTGTGAGGAGGTTGAGATTGTTGTGTGTAGGCTGGGATATACTAACACTAACAGCAGGAGGCATGGCACTTGGAAGTGTACTTGATGTGGCTGTGTTCATCATGGTACCAGCTGACCATGTCTGTTGGGTAACATCAGCACTGGATTTCGCAGGGACCTGGCCGGTCATTCTAACTAGGTGTTCCTCCGTGGCCAGAGCGCTGGACACGCCGCTCGACGGCTTTGCTCCGTACTCGGGAAGTGTATCGTCACGTTTCCTGGGTGAGAAGTCCCAAGGGTGCGTGTAGGTGAACTTCCAAGCAGAGTTTGACTTGTTGAAGCTTGTCCTGGCTTCTTGCTGTGAAGACTCGAGTAGAGCTGCTCCTTCGTTGGTGAGTTCTGGAGACTGGTTCCACATCAAGGACGAGGTTCCATCTTGTATCATGGCCGGATCCATCTCAGGACAGGGGTAACTTATGTGGTTTGTACCTGTTGTCTTGTTCAAATCTGGTATCATAGGTTCTATGTGCTGCGGTAGTGGAGGTAGCTTTCTGTACCATGAGGTAATATCTTCAGGGGTCTTTCCTCCCGCTACAATCCCACCAATCAGGGTCGTCTGTGAACTGTCAGACTGGGTAGCTATTACCGAACACGGCACGGGCATGGAAGGCATCGCGCTGAATTCCTGATGACTCTGCCGCAACTGTTCTGTCACCGCAATCATGGTATTTGGACTCCTGTTCATCGTGAGAGGGGGAGTATGCAAGGTATCGTGACTCTCTGAAGGATTGTTGGAACGTTCCACGTTAGGAAATGCTTCAGAGCCATCCAGTAGTGGTCTGGGGGTGTTGCACCTCATGTCACTAACACAGAGGCCCAAGGACCAGTCCGGGGAGCCAACTCTCACTCGAGCTCTCATCCTGTCCACGAAATCCGCCTGAGTGAAATCCTGCAGACTGCTGTCAGCACGGTACACAGAGAACGTCCCAGAGTAGACTTTGTCGCTGGCTACACTTACATCACTGGAGAGATTCTCTATGTTTGCTGCATCCTTTACCAGAGGGCTTTCAGGCGTCTCAGGTTCCACACTGTCAGGAGTCATCTGCAGGGTTAACTGGTCCTTGCTGTGCGAAATAATCTTTTTACCGTCTACATCCACTTTGGCCCCTTCAGCTGTAAACTCCCTCTCGCTCTCCGTTTCCTCCGAATCCGTTGCACTGTCCGTTCTAAGTGCTGATGCCTCTGTAATGCCCCGCGCCGGCGGATGACCTAATAATCCTGTGTGTGTTGAAGCACCACCGTTCTCCGTGTAGACATCACCCTGCAGTTGCAGAGATGACGTTGCCTGCCTCCTCATCCTTTCAGAACTAGAATCATCACTTGGCTGGGATTGTGTTGCTCTATCAGAACTGTCACCTTGTCCGTCGTCCCTTTTACTCCTCAGACACTCCTTGTCTTGTTCCTTCCCCTTTGCTCCTTCCCTAAGATCAGGGCTGCTGGTGTAGAAGTCAGACAGGGAGTCTGACAGGCTGGAGCTGGTGCTGGAACGGGACTCGCCCATGTAGAGCTGCCGCATGGTAGCAGCGCCCTCTGCTGGCAGCATGGAGGGAGTGCAGGCAGCTTCCTTGCCTTGTGTGCCTTCTCCTGGGCTCAAAGAATCCTTGGGTGTCCTGTAGGTACAAATTACAGGCCTGGTGTTAGAAAACTGAAACAAAATTGTGTATTCAGCGTTGAAACAAAATGGTGTATTTACTGTTGAAACAAAATTGTGTATTTATAGTTAAGCTTTCACTGATGAATGGTGTCCATTTCTAAATGTTTATCAATATCAGTAAAACCAAAATAAGTATAAAATAAATATCAATTTACTGTAAATCATGCAACTTTTGCTGTGATACAGATTCATGATAAAATCAGCCCCACACAGTAAATGGACTAGTGTATTCTTTTACATCATCATCGAAGACAGAAGAACGTAAAATTAAGACTGGTATGCTAGAAACATTATTAAAAATTGATTTTTGATGACCGACTAAATAAAACCTGTAATACAGTAAAAACTTCGTGCAAGTGATCTGTCCACAATGTGTACATTTGCAGAATAAGGTATTTCGAGCCCTGAACGTTTTGCTGAACTGTGATCCATAGCTGATCTCTGACCTGTTGGCAGGGCTGGGTTTGGCCATGGCCCGTGACTCTGGCTTGAGAAGAGAGGAGAACTCAGGTAGCCTGTGATGTGGCCAGGTAACACTGCCCGGGGAACTCTCCATGTCTCACTGTGGCTCAGGGCTGGGCTAAATTGAGTCACACAGTACAGACTAGAGAGAGAGAGAGAGAGAGAGAGAGAGAGAGGATCAAACTTTCTTGCATAAGACTAAAAATTTTCATAGGCAGGAAGAGCATATGTGCATTCTCCCTGAACTGGGTAGCCTCTACCAGGCTTCGGGAGGCGGATGGAAAGAGTAGAAATCGGCCAAATAGAGAGATAGCATGCCAAGGGAGTTTGGTCCGTGGAGAGAACAGTTCGCCGCTCCCTCCCAAAGCCTAGTAGAGGCTTAGCAGCTATGAATGGGGTACAATTTGTCACAATATTTTCCAAGAACAATTACACAAGACAATAACAGAGTTTACGAGATGACACAATGTTACGGACACTTCTGTAAGTAGCAAAACCTGTACAATGTAGTTCATGACCCACTATGCATGTTGTTATAAAGTCTGATGGCGCAATGCACGAATGATTGCTTCAGTCGTTTGGATGCGAGAGATGAAGAAAGAATGAAAGTGGGCATTAGAAAGAGATTCTGAGCTGTCAAATAACACGAAGTTCAGGACTGGGAATACTACCTGCATATGCAGGTTAGCGCAGGCATTAAATGTTAGACGGGGTGTCATTCCAGAACTTCTGAAGAATTTAGACTGCAAACATATAGCAACTTTATAATAAATATCAAATGATATATTCAATATACCATATACTATTTGCATCACAACATGTAATAATTTGCAGGCTTCCTGGTCTCTTGTCTATGTTGACTAAATCAAAAAGTATATCACTGTAATGACAGCCAATTACAATTTCAGACAAACAAACAAACAAACACGAAAAGGGGTGGGGTGTGAAGATCTGTCCAAAGGTAATACAATGTGTTCATATTGTCAATGATCAGCCCAGACGGTATTTTTTTCTTAAATGTTAAGAAAAAAAATTATAAATACACATTTTAGAAAATAAAAAGTTTTCTTTTATTTTCTTAAAATGTGCATTAATTTTTTTCCAAAACAATCAAACCTACGAAAAAACATGTAACATGTTAACGTTACGTGTATTATCGTAATCGGTTGTGTTACTGTTATCTTTTCCATAGATCACAGTAAATAACAGTGTATCATCGTGTATCAAATCTTTTCACAGTAAAATATATAACGTTAACTTTTCGACAGTTCAATTTTGCTATTCAAGGGGGGAGGGGAGCTTGGTAGGAGGGTGTCTTCTTCAGGAAGTCATAAATTATGTGACGGAAGAAGAGCACCAGGGAGTCCTAATGTGATGCAGGCGCGATCTGTGTCATTTTTCTCTGTGAAAGTCTGTGACAAAAATACGAGTACACAACTCGTTACGTTTATAATTATAACGAGAGTTATGAACAAAGGACAAAGTTTGTTCGACCTTGAAAGAACGTTACGTAGCCTTTGGACGGTGCGATGGCAAGTGCATACTTGCAATTTGTTGTTATTACCTTCGCCAAGAAGGTTATGTTTTCAGGGGCGTTCGTGTATGTGTGTGTGTGTGTGTGTGTCTGTCAACACGATAACTTGAGAAGGCCTTGATGGATTGTCTTGATACTTGGTAGATGGGTAGGTCTTAATGAGACCTCAAAATGATTAGATTTTGGACCCCCTAGCGGCTTGTTATGGTACTGCAGCTGAACTTCCGGTTTTGATATCTCAAGATCCAGACATGCTGTGGTGATGAAATTTGGATGGTAGGTAGCTCTTGTGCTGGGGAAGAAGTGACGTGAGTTTAGGCCCCCTAGCGGCTTGCTCTAAAACTGCAGGGGGGTTTAAAGGACAAATGTTTAAAAGAGGATAACTCAAGAACCGATTGATGGATCATAATGATTTTTGGTATGTAGGTAGCTTAAGTGATGCTTGACATAATGATATTACAATTATGCGAATATTGATGTAATTTGCATAATTAATGAGGAAATTCTATAAATCAGCTGCATTCCATGATAGGAAGTTCAAGCTTGTAACATATTTTATTAAGAACGAGAGAAACGCAGGCAAATATTGATTATGCAAATGAAGACTTAATTTGCATAATTAATGAGAAAATGTTATAATTGCGTAGTGGTAACTGCCTGGAATTTCATACTTGGGGTGTTTGAAAGTTAAGTGAAGGTGAACATAATTAAACATAACGTATTCAAATTAGGACCACATTTGCATAATTTATGAGAAAATGGCATTCTTTGTTAAGATAAGACTGTCTTTTGGTGGAGAATATGATCAACAGACTGATACAATTCATGCAATTGAGGATCCTATTTGCATAATCAGAGTGATTAGTAGATTTCTTATTCATAAAGGCTAACATCATTTGGCGAAGGTATGAGATCGTGGAACTCTAGTTTTCTTTTGCATCGTTGCCGTTGACAGGTATTGAGAGTAAATAATGACAGTAAACAGTCGTTTACTTGTCGAGTAGCAGTATGGATTTTGTTCCTTACTACGGTATAAAATAAGGAACATTTCGAAACGTGAGACTGGGTGAGAGGGTTGAAAGAAAGCGCGCGAAACTCGGGCCGTCATGGCAGTATGTTGCAGATGATGCAACTATTTCAAAAATCGTCCAAAAATGCATTCCTCACCTCAGGTCGTCTTGGTAACTCGTTCCTGCTCGTCAGAAACTTGTCTGGAATTATCCACCTGTCGGTCGTTGAATGTCGTTGGGCGCATCTGATTAAACTTGAGAGAAAAACTCGTCCAAACCGCCACCTCCTTGTTTGTCACATTCCTGCTGGCGCCGAGGGACCACGTGGGCAGGGCCTGAAACGTTGTTGTTTACCTGGAGCTGACCAATCAGCGTTGAATATTCCAGAGATATATCTTACGTATTCGATAAACATAAGATTACTGCAACAAAAAGATGTTTGTTTTCTTTCATGGATTGCAATAAATATCTGGTTCCTAACTGTGATATACTAGTAGTTTTGTCTTATGAAAAAAAAAAACTATGCAGTACTGATAGTAACCGATGGGGGCGCTTTTGAACCGTGAGCCGCTATTCAGTCGTTTTGTCAGTTTTTCAGTGAGTTTGCCCATCAGCTTGATAAAATCGCTTTACGGTTGGCCGCGCGCCCAACATCCAGCCTCCGCGGAGGGGGCACTAGCTAGAGGACCACTAAAGCCACGGACGGCAGCGTTTTCGTTACACATCAAGTCCTTGATCACATTTGCAAGAAAATATAAAACTTTCTAAGCGCCCAGTCAACTACATTGTATGTTTCAGTAATAAGGAAAGCAACAGAGTTGTGTGATAGCAAGGAGCTTCAACAAGTCATTGGTCATACTACACAGTAACGCCACTAGACTACAAAAGAAACAATTCTCTCTTTTTTATTGCAAGGGCGTACGAACTATATAGCATTTTATAATACCTCCTCCATTGTGTATGTAAAAATCAGTTTCATATATCTCTAACTATGGAAATAAACTGCACATTGCACCAAACTTAATCACAGAAATAATTACAGAATTACGTATGTTACATGCTTCCATCATGGTGTAAAAAAAACTAAATTCATGAATTACTTGTAAATTCAGTCATCATCATTATGCACAAGCAATAGTTTTCAATGATGTGAGCATGCAACCAAAGGTAAAAAAAAATATTTTTTTGTGAAAAGTATCAAAACCTAATATGCATTTTGAGACATACATGTCTTACATGTCTGTATCACCCAAAACAAAGTGTTAAGTTTCAATGGTTTCAAACATAACCACTTTTCTGCTGTAGTCAAAATGTGGAAAACTAAAAAAAAAGAAAGAAAAAGTAACCTTTTACAACAATCTGAAATATTCTGTGCAAAATATTCAGTGCATAAACTTGAATGACAACCGAGTGAATAATACAAAATATCTATAATGAAATCTGACAGATGGAATACAGCTTTTTAATTACAAACCCTTTCCTTGTCCTGTAACATTCCTGCCCACATAGATACATTTCCACTGGTACAAATAAAATCATTGCAACACCAGCACTAGTGTACATTGTAATAGTGGTCTGGTATCTAGAAAATCATATTTATCAATCCTCAATTCCTCACCAACAATTTTTCCTAATCACTACCTAAAATTTTCAATAATGCATAGTTCATCATGCAAATAATAAATCAATCAATCAAACCAATCAATAGCTGCACACTGTATTCTTATTACTGCATAGGTCTACAAAACAATACATCAATGTACAACAATACATACATATTGCAAACCTTGATTGCATATACAGTATCTGGCCAATGAAAGCCTTCATAAACAACTGTGTTGTTACATAGAAAAGGTGACATTCAGCATTTAGGCTCTCCATTTAAATATCGTATCCTATTTGTAATGAATACCATGTCTTCAACACTGTCACAAGTGTTATAAATTTAAAGTTTGTTGCGGCTTTAGCACGAAGATATTCTTCACCCTACATAATGTAGATTAAGTTCTGTAGCCTTTTTGAGGCTGTAGCGGCAATGGGTTGTTGATCCACTGTGTCAGGGCATGGTATTGGAGGGTGCAGCCCATCCCTCTACTTCCACTGCCTTTGACCTCCTAAACTAAAGTCAGGTACCCATTTTACACCTGGGTGAACTGAAGTTGTGTCAACCACCTTTCCCAAGAACACAACATCCAACCAGGAATTTAAGAAATCGAACGTGTGACTTCTTGATTTTGAATCCGCTTGTCTTTATAATAGCTACTTGGTCATCTCATCCCAGAAGAATTCTTAGTAATACTTATCCACCCACTGGTCATATGGATTTGTTTGTTCTACATTTAAAGCAGCAGCAATAGATCACAAGATCTCGCACTGATTCATACAGATTCTGTGGTGTCTGCTATACATGTATGAAAAATGTTACCACCAGTGCATAACATAGTAAAACGTTGAACTTAATTCCAACACATAATTTACAGAGAGATAAAATTTTCAACCACTGTCACCTTCATCGGGATAATCAATGACCAATCACTTCACAACGTGATCTCGCGAGAATTACGGTTTACAAACACGTGACCTTATTCACACGAGACTTTACTGATACGTGACGTAAGCAGTTGATCAAAAGTGCCAGGGAGTTTATATCGTTGTGAAGTGATTGGTCATTAATTATCCTGATGAAGGCGACAGTGGTCGCTGAAAATTTGATCTCTCTGTAAATTGTGTGTTGGAATAAAGTTCAAAGTTTTACTATGATTACTACCAACACAGATTAACTTTCATGATAACCCGTGCATAACATTAGACACTGAAATTGCAAGCTGGAATCTTTGAAGAACATCCTTGTCAGAGTCGTGCTTTCACTGGGATGACTTGCACTGTCGTCTTGAGGTCAGGTACCGCAATGAAGATTTCTAAAGAACAATTGACAGAACAGAACAATGAATTGTGGACCGTTTTCTGCAATCACAGGCTCAGCATATTATGATAATTTATAGAAGTCATGTTGGTGCAAACTTTTCAGACAGTAAACATGTTTTAATTCTCATCTGTGAATAGTTTCATCAGGTTGGTAAGACACTGAGTAAAGAGACTCTTTTTACACAACCAAGTCTTTTATTCAGCCGATGTTTTGGTTCTTATAACCCCATTCGCCCACAATACTTCCCTGCTACCCATGTTACAGTTCATTCTCTGCTATGTTTATATCCAAAAGTAAAGAATGTACTATATATAGCAAACATTCGTAGATATGATACCTTTATTAAAGGTATGAAAAATATGAAAATTTTCTCACCTATTTGTTTGGATAACGATAAGACCTCTTCTTGGACAGGTAGGAACAGCACATCTCCATTACTGGAACAACATGAACATAGTAAGCCATTAATGTAAGCAGCAAATAGAAAAAAATCTGCTTTATAAGGTCAGCAAAGATTTGACTATTCCAACGGTAAATTTCAGTGACAGGAACAAGATTGAGTTCCAATTATAGAGAAAATATTGCTCAGACTAAGAGATTCTGGAAAGTTGTCTTTTAAACCATGTGATCATCAAGTTATATGGCACAAGACTGTTATATTCAAATGAATATACAGAGACAAGCATGCATAGAATAATACAGAAACTGGATTTTTTTTCTGTTCTTTACCTTTTGAATCTCTTGACTGCTCCCACAGAAACAAAGCTAGTGATGGAGTTGCCCAGCATGTCTAATGACAGGATCTCAAATCTCTCTGCATGTCCTGGAGTAAACATCAGAGCAATATTGGTGACAAAGTTTCTAGATATATATCGAGATATACAGAGGGTAACTTTTTGAAATGTAAAACAATCATATGATAGTACTGAAACCATTAAAATCCCTTTTTTTTATTTTTGCATTTAGAGGACTGAAATAAGTAATGTTAATCTAGTAATCAAGATTTAATATATATATATAGATCAGCTCTATTATGTGTACAGTACTGTAGTTTTAATATATTATTATTAGAGCTGTGTACCGATACGCAGTACCGATACTGTACCGGAAAAATTGATTAGGTACAGGTCCAAAATACCTACTCCCTCAGTACCGGTACTGTACCTAAACAATTTCACACCAATTTTATGCCTATTTGTGACCTCAAATGTGTATAAAGGTGGTTAACAATGGGTCCCTGTGTAAGGACAGCGTGTTCATGAAAACAAAACACTTAGTTTTGCCTATATTTTATCTGAGCATTCGCCATAAACAAAGAATAAACCTTAACTATCAAGTTTATTTATGTTTTTTGTTATTGAAGGAGTTCAGAAGACCATATAAATTGGTCGAATTGTTCAGGTACAGGTTCAGGTCCGGACCTGTACCTAAACCTGTGTACCTGTACCTGTACCTGTACCTAAAATTTGTTTAGGTACACAGCTCTAATTATTATCAATTTTTTTTACAGGTACACAGCATCATCATCATCATCATGCCTCCGGATTATCTAATCCAATGGGGTACACTTGATAAAGTTACTCCAGTATGTCCTATCCCTCATAGCAGACAACAATGCAAACCCTGCGAGACCAGCGTCTCTCTCTAACATAGACAAAAATGTAGTATAAGGCCGTCCCACTCTACGTCTCCCAGTGGGAAGCCACTGTACACAGCAGTCCAAACAAATTTCATATCAGACTGTACCATTAGAGAGAAGGGTAGCTGCCATGTCCTGTGCACCCCTGGTCAGCTGCTGTGTGGTGCTGCCTCGGGCATCATCTGAGGAGACTGTCAGCAGATACTGGCACATGATCTGAAAAATGAAGAGATGCTAACAATGTGACATTAACTCTCATAATTCTGAAATTATCAATACTGGGAATATTTATGACAGTTGACAGTATGTAGGAAAACCTGGAGAGGGTGTGTGCTTTGAAATTTATTCAGGAGTTGCTGTGACCAAATAGAACTACTTTTCAAAAGTCATTGTAGAAAATTGGCAGCAAGCATGCATTTTACAATTCTTTATCTTACCAATTTGATTTCGTGTTATAAAAATGGCTCAAAATCATGTCAGTGAAACATGTATCCAGTTCAAAGCTGTCTGTTCCATTCTACGTACACAAGGCACATCATAACAATATGTTTTCCTTCCGTAAACAGAACTGACCAATCAGGACATTCCGTATAGAAATGCTTCTTGCCCATTGGCCCTTGCTCTCCAGTACCAAATATGGTCATGCAAAGTCAACATCTGATCACAAACTTACCCAGTATCCCAAGAGGAATGGGGAGAACATCTCGTACAGAAAACTCTGAAGCTTCTTCCCTGAGACAGAAACTCTCACAGAACCTCCTTCCTCCTCAAGTACATGGACTCTGCACAGATACTGCACTGCTGTGTCAAAGTCCTATAGGTAAGAACAGGTACAAGAGAGATATTTGAGAAAAAGTAGCCAGGTCTTCAAATTTTGCTGCATTCAATGACAAAAAAAATTCCCACACAGAAAGAAGTTTCACATCAATGTAAAACTGTGGAATATAAGATTTAAAGACAAATTTATACTAGTACAATCTACATGTACATGTACTTTGTTGATCTAAGAACAATCAGAGAATTAAGAGTCGACGTACCTGTTTGTCTTGTCCTGGCATGAAGATGAAATCTTTCTCCAGTGTCCTTCTGAGGAACATGAATATTCTGAACATCTCATCTGAAAGTAAGGAGAACAATTATCATTACTGAAATATACAACTTGCAGATTCCAAAACTGGACCTCAATAAAATAAAGTTTAATGCAAGCTCACTTGTATACATGAGTGTTGTGCATGCATGAAGCTGTATATAGCAATGATCATTGCTCAATGGTCATGAATCAATATTTAATCACATTGTATTCTACAACAAAATACCAATTATAATACAAACAGCTTTTATTAAAGCTTTACTGTCTATTGGATTTTACCAAGACTTTTGGCCAGAATTCTAGTTCCAGTTCATATTACACAATGTATTCTGCTAACTTAACCTTATGCTAGGGTAGCCTTTTGGCACCAAATTTGTATTTAATTTAGTTTATGGGATGGCCTGGCAGCAGGGAGATGGTTAAAGACAAATGGCTGTTCATCTTGAAATCAGCAACAACAAACAAGCAAAGAAACAAACAAACAAACGTGATTACAACAACCTCTTGTTTTGGTCCCGTCCCCGCTAAGCGCCATCAGGACGAGCGCGACCCTCACGAACACGTGGAGGAGCTGGTTGGTTCCCGTGACGACCATCAGCCGCACCTCGGCCTCCTCCATCACCCGGTGTTTCCTCGCCATCCCGGTCTCCATCTTGGGTCGCGTCTGCGGCGGGAGGTTCAAGGTCACCTTGGCATTGTCTCCAAGGGCGACGACGTGGTGATGAAGTTCTAGTGCAGACTTGACGACACTGCTGGGGTCTTCTTTAGCTGTGAAGTTGGACACAAGTAATATCAAGCCGCAGGCATCAGAGTTTGAGAAAAAGTAGCCAGGTCTTCAAATTCTCTCTTACACAAGTAAGAGAGATAATTAAACTAGAAAGGTAATATTTAGAAAGCAACTAGTATTTCATGTACATAATGTTTACTACTGCTGCTTTGTTTATTCTTTAGTAATACCTAAACACATTACATTTAAAATATGTGGTGACACAAGTTCAACTCTGCCCTGCCACTTGCTACATAATGTTGTCCTACACCATGGGTGTCTGCTACAGCACCAGTTACCATGGTGACATCTATCTGGTTTGGAGAAGAAGGAGAAGAGCAAAAAAATGTTTCCCTTCTGCAAAAGCAGAGCCTTTCAGTTACAAATGACTAGAAGTTCAAAACTAACCTACATTTGTACTTGTATAGTTTAACTACATGTGCATGTACAAATGTAATAAACTGTGTGTTCTATATAATATATCTTATCAAGAACATTTTCTGTACAAAATAAAATAACTAACCAAGGAAAAGAGCTTTCTAACAAGTAAATCTAATGAAAGAACCATCAAAGGTGTCATTCTACCTGGCCAATCAACAAAAGCCCCAAGACCGACTGCTTGCTTCTTCAACCAAACTACCTCGTTCACAAGCTTCCCTAATCTCAGTCCCTGAGGATGCTGGGAGAGGACTGCAGCGACCAGGGACCAGGGTGAGATGACCATGTGCTTCTGCTGGGCGAGGATGACTTGGTAGGCGAGGTGTTGGACAAAGGTCTGCTCCTCACTGGTGAACATGGACATGTGCCTGGGAGTAAAAAAAACATTGAAAACACATTGAAAATCTCAGTATTAATGGCACATTGAGATTGAGAAATGTAACAACACGTATCCATTGTCATGTGTGAAGACATTTTTAATGTTGACACGAAATGTCATTTTGGGTTAAAGGCATCCAATGCAACTTCATGGAGGCAAAATAGAAAATCTGTCTGATATTGACATTTACATGTATTGCCATTTCTTAGCACATTTTTAGCACGTCATCATTTCATACAAATTGCCCCAAAACGAGCTAATCTGTGTTTTATTATGTTTTAATTTACTACAACCAATAAATAGCTAGAACCAGCCTATGATATCATACAAGCGACCATTTTCATATGCTATGGGATAGTATGGGTTCAACTTACTTCTTTTAGAATATTGACTTGAAAAATCATGTTTTGTGCCTTGCAATGACTTTGGGTGTTATTTTCACATGCTTTATCTAATAGCTTTACCTATCTAAGAAAATACAACTTCCAACAGCACATAAAAGAATTTCCAACACACAGGCCTGTCCTTGGTGCTGAACATCATTGACACACAGGCCTGTCCTTGGTGCTGAACATCATTGACACACAGACCTGTCCTTGGTGCTGAACACCATCTACACAAAGTATTTCTGTCCTTTCAGATGTACATAAAACCCACCTCGGGTGCAGGCCATGGACACTGCGGTCAATTCTCCCCTCTGCCAGCTTCCTAACAGACAACGGTTCCCCGAAACAGACGTGAATGCTGCCATAATCCTCCTGCAGGACACTACGAGCCTTCACTAGGCCCTGGAAGAAACAAAAGAATGCATGGTTTAATATAAATCACTTTATATTTGTGGTAGCAAAATTTCACAGTCTGAGAAAAATAAACATGTTGGTAGAACTTTATGTGCCACTTGCTACGTACATAATGTAATCCAATACCACAGTGTCTGCTACAGCACCAGTTACCATGGTGACAGACATCTGGTTCGTGGTCATTAACCTCATTTGTTTGAAATGGAAGAAGGAAGGAACAGAGCAAAAACAGTATGTATTCCCTCTGCAAAGGTAAACCTGATGTCTTCAGTCTCTGCGTCACTTTTAAAGACCTTTTTTAAGTTAATAGGAAGTAGTACCAGTAGTAAAAAGGTCCTGTTCCACTCTATGCAGAGCATAGGGGTGGTGCCCTTCTCCATTCCCATAGCCCTTGGGCAACACACAGTTGTGCAAGGCACTACAGCAGGGGGCTAGTCTGCTTGTAGTGCTATGTGATTGACCTTCCCATACTCTTTCTCATATGTGCTGAGTGCTAAGTAGAGAAAGAAGTGTATACCATTTTTAAAGTCTTTGGTATGACCCGGCCAGGGTTTGAACTCACGACCTCCCGGTTACAAAGCGAGCGCTCTACCAATTGAGCTATTGCACCAGTAGTACATGTAGCTAAAAGTATTTATTCAAAAAACAAGTCAATGACTGCCTGTAAGATTGCATGAAACATTTAGACAACTTACTGAAGTGGACTCCTTTGGTTTGGGGATCCCCAGCAGTTCCCTGGCGTACAGTGTTTCCTCCAGGCGCCGGTCGTAGCTGATACTGATGGGGACGACGGTGATGTCGTACACAGAGCCAATCAGGAACGGTTCAATAGCAGCTGACAGGAGACCTGTAAACATATACAAACAGTGATGTCAACAGCAAATATTATGGTATATTTGTCACATGTACATAAGGTGAAATGTCAGTGACTGGATGGAAGAAGATTGAAACACAATAGACTTGAAAATTTTATTCCAATTGTACCAGTATTTAGGGCTCAAAATACTGGGTGTATATGCACTTTTGTGCACCCAAAATTGGAGCTGTACATCTAATTTAGACTGCGTGGGGGCAGGGGACATACTGGTAATATATATTTGTGTAGGATTAGATGAATAAAAATACCATCATTGTAATTGTGTCATAAAGTATAATAAAACCTTTGTTGTGTTATACATTAACTGTTTAGAATTTCGAAGTGAGCTGTAGCACGCATGAATCAGATTTAATCTCCAAAAAGAGGCAGTAAGTTTTATGACTAAATTGTTTTGCTAGCATTATACTTTATTCAATGTTGTACTAATTTCTGTGCTCTTAGAAGAAGTCAAACATTATCATTGTAACAATGTGAAAAAGATATGGGACGTATTTCATTCTATAAGATGTAAATAGACCTACCAAACTTTGGTGAGAGTGATTTTGAGGTGCGACTCCTGGTCCCCTCCACAAAGAACTCCATGGGTGAGTCCCCGTTCCGTATCAGTGTCTGCACGTATTCCGTGAACACTGCCCAGTACAGCCTGTCGGAACCAAACGACCTCCGCATGAAGAACGCTCCGCAGTTTCTCAGCAGAGTTCCCACGAACTTCATCGCCATAAAATCTGCATAAGGAATGCAATAGACTGTTGTTTGACAAGGAAACAGGAATAATGGATGCTTCTGCTTTCATTTCAGTATACAGTACAGTATTGACTGTCACGCACTTCACCAAGTTGTCCTGTCACTACATAACCTCCTTGATTTCCTCATTGACTCCCACTACAATGTAGTAGCTGTCAGCTACTTTGAATCTGGTGTATTTTAAAGCTAAAAGGCTGTTATACTGGCTATACTACATATACTATGACAGCTAGTCTCCAATCAACTTCTATGGTATCTAAACCAGGCCTCTAGCCAGCACCAGTTTTTCTGTCAATAGCAGGAACTCTATGGCATGTGACGGAAGAACGTTCAAACCAATCCGTCAACCTTGATGAAAATTGAAAAAAAATCTTTGCCTTTTAAAATTAGGATTTTAAAGGTGTAAGAATACAAAATTTGCCCCCGGACCCCCCTAGATTGTGAGCACTCTCCCCCCAAGGTCTGATTACAGTATGACCCTGGGCTGACAGAAAAAGATTTCCATGCAGCTGGATAGAGCCCTGAATATAAAATGTCAAGAATACACCTTAAATCATTAAAATGTAAAATGTAAAATAAATGTAGCAAAAGTCATTGGACTCACCAGCACCAGCAGCAATGACAGGCAGGGGAAAGTCGTAACAGTAGGCGACATAAGACAGCATGAGGAAGTCGATGTAGCTGCGATGGGAGGGCAGCAGCAGAACAGGCTGGTCCTTCGACATCTTAGCCAGCTGGAAAGAGAGAATTTCGGTATTTCAAAATATTTACTCCATAATATTAGTTTTTTTCTTGAATTTAGGACACCAGTTCATATGTTTGACTGGTACAGTTTTACAGGATTCCAATATCCAGTAACTTGATCGCATAAACTTTAGACTGACAACAATCATGACCCCTTCTTTCAGATTTATGTATAGCCTGCCAGACAACTTTATCCATCATGAATATAGACAAAGTGAATTCTATGAGTATGCAGGGTCCAAGATATGCACTCTCACTGGGCAAGTCATGTTTTCTGTAAAAGACTTATTGGAAATGCTGGGCAACCTGAGAAAAACAGGGATTAAAAAAATACAACGTCAGAACAACGGCCAACCTTTTCAAGGTGATCCCCATTGACGTAGATTTTCTTGTACAGGGTCTTGAAGATTTTGTTGAGGAAGTAGGCAAAGAACCTGATGGACCTCATCCTCAGGTTGTGTCCCATCTCCTGTACCATGGCGCGGGCCTGAGATAGCAACTCATCTTCTGATTGGTCAGTCTCTGTAGCCAGCTAGTAAGAGGTTAAAAGTTACAACAAGTTCAATGATAGCACCAATTTTTGCATCATTACATAATTTATCATCATACTAAGTGACAAAGAACATATCAGCCTGCTTGAAATTTGCAATTCTAACTTTCATATAATTATAGTATTTCATAGCACATGCTCCATTGATTATGAAAAACTTGATTACACAACAATCATTGTCGTATCCATACAATGTATGGCAACTTGTACATGAATGGAAGTTGAACTATATATATTGACAAATCAACAATGTAAGCATGAAGATCTAAGGTCCAATTTCTAGTTGTGTAACAGTTAAAATTCCAACATCCTACTTCCGGAAAATCTCAATACATGTAGTAGCTAAAAGAAGCAAACCATACAAAATCAAATCAAAGTTGTTCCTAGAGAATTCTTTCATCAGTGACAAGTTTTTGAAGGGTAAGAGTACTAACCTCCAAATTTTCTATGAATATCAGTCCATCTTGTTCATGGAGTGACTTGCATTCTCTAAGAACTGTAACTTAATAATATGTGACAAATGAATCTCTTCAACCAAATGAAAGTTATCCATATCATACAGTACCCAAATCCATCCCTACCTGTTCAATGACACTCAGCACCCGTGTAGAATTCAGCACGTCTTCCTTGACCTTCTCAGGAGTTCGAGGTTTACAGTGTTTGTACCGCGGCGGGTCGTACGTCTCCATGGAGAAGCCCAGGTCACTGTACAGCCGCTTCCCCTCCAGGATGTCCTCATACTCAGGTCTGCTCATGGTTCTGATTATCACTTCTACAGGGTCATGGGCCTGAAAAGGCAGCAAGGAGGTTGAATACAAGCCCGGTCTGTGGACATTATGCAAATTGGGGGGTAACTGACACGTCAATGTGAAGTTGAAACTTCACACCTGAGGCAAACATCGTTGAAAGGGCAGTAATCCTGTCCTGTTTCCTTTTGATTTTAAACCTCTTTGGCATAAGCGAATCTTTAAATGTACTTTCATAGTGCAATATACTTAATGTAATTTACAGAAGGCACAAATCAGCCTTTGGCTGCAATGAATTTTTTACCAATAAACTATTATTGATTGATTGGTTGGTTGATTAGTTGATTGTTTGATTGATTGATTGATTGGAAAGGAAGTGATTTTAATCAGTTTTGGTTCACTGAAGAGCTATTCTTCCACTGGTTGCAACAGACAGCTGGTGCTATGTACTGAATCGATCCAATTGTATCATTCCATGAGACAGACAAGGTTTAAACTTTTTTTCTAATTACATGTATAACTTTTTGTAATACTTCATCATCAAGAAAGGGTCTGCATGGAGGGATTTTGACAATCCTTGGAAGTATTTTAGGAGGGTCTGCAACCCTTAATGGTATGTTCGGGGGAGAGATTTTGGACTGTTCCGTTGTAATTACTCATACTAGGCTGCCTTTTTTTTAGCAGATGTTACAAATTTCTATGAAATACAGTAAATACATTAGCTAAAGTACGTACAGTAAATACCCTGAGTTACCACAGCTAGGCTACCAACAGGGACAAAATACTGTGAAGTCAGGTCACCTCACAGAAGTAAGGCATGCAGACCAGGCTCAAAAACATAAAAACATGGGGGGGGGGCATGGGGGGATCTCTTTTCAGTTAACGTTACATCATATAGCACAATTCCAATTTCATACAAGAACAGGCTGCTGATCACTACGTGTACATGTAGAATTCTTTTTGGTAGCATGTGACATTTATTATATAAGTTGATAATGTGCAGTGACCTGGAAAAACTGGATACGCCAGGAAGGTTGGTAAATCTAATAAAGCAAGTTAGTTGTTGATAATTATTTTCTTTGCAAGCTTTGTTTAAGACAAATGCAAATAATTAATTCGTGGATAAATGTTCCGAAAACACATTTGGTCATAATCAATCTCATAGGCTCTGTAGCTAATGACATTAACTGTACATATAGCTGGACACACCCATATCACCATGAGAATGACCTGGGGGCGTGAGACACACATTATATTTGTCAAAGACAGTAAACTGCTCACCCTCAATGATTCAAGTGCAGCGGTGACAAGTAGCAGTGGACGTGCTGAAATCTGTGCTGCAGCACGCAGTGATCCAATTAAACATCAGCGTGTGTGATTGGACAAACATCAAGACAAGCAAACATCGTACCACTAGCAACACCCATGGGCGGGTCTGTTTGAAAACCCGGAAGTGCTCGCTTCACTCTCAAATATTGCCGATCTCCCTGCACGTTCAAAATTTCTCCGAGCAAAATTTTGCCTCAACGTTATATGATCCAACATACAGCTATAGAGCTCTATGTCACACAACAATTCAGCTATATAAAGGAGAACAGTCGTAAAGAAATGTCGACCCACATTGCCTGTTTTCAGAAGGACGCCATCTTGCACATGTGACTTAGGCTATTCTACTAAAAAATAGGGGTGGTGGAACATGCATGTACCATTATAAGCAAGTAGGAAAAGAAATACAAAAGATATCACCGATGCAATATATAACCATAGTCTTTAAGATCTTAGTTTTGGTAATATTATATGGTTTAAAAGTATTTGTTGGAGAGCACAGCAATGTGAAATATATAATTGTCCCCTTCTAAAATTATTTGACTAACCCATACTTGCCCCACATGTAGCCTAGGGATGCTAGGCTTGGAGCTAGGCTACATTCAGGAATCAGGATGTGTACATATTGTCATGTAATGTAAACGTGTGCAGATGTTTCAAAATAGGGCTTAGGTAGTTGCTGATTGCAAGAATGAGACTATTGAGTATTTTGGATACTTTAGTGGTTGTCTTGTATTTTTCAAGACCTTCACTTTGTAAAAAAAAGGATGCACAGGTAAGTCAATTTTGTCATCAGAACATACTAGAATACTGCACTTGCGCAAAACCTGGATTTTTCTGGGGTTTTGTTGACTGTTTGGACAAGGTTGCATTAGAATTTTGCTAGTTGCAGACCTTGTTATCTTTTACGACACAACATTTAAAACGGTTAGATCTGCTGATCAGAAGTGATCGACCTGCTGAAGTGCTTTGCACAATGCATTATTTGTTTGTGCAGGCCCAGTATGTTCTGCAGTCATGCACATTGTTGAATATTTTCTATCTGTAGTTACTCTGGCATTACACCATGATCAATTTAGTCTTAGGATGTATGAGTTCCATCCTGGTTAGTTTACGTCCGCTCCCACAGTCGCTACCACCAACGACTGTGGGAGCGGACGTAAACTAACCAGGATGGAACCCAGGCTACCCCCTTGCAGGCCCTCATGTATGATCATTGATTATAGCTTTTAATGTACTTAATGGAAACTTCATCAATACATCATGTCAGGGTACTTTATTAATTAGTTTTGTTTGAATTGCAGAAATCATCCTTACAACTTCTGGAGAAAGAGAGCAAGAGGTTGGAGAAAACAGGATGCAAGTCCACCAAACAGGACCATGTCACCAATCTCAGGGTCAACAGAAAGGTACTAATTTAAAAACATCCTGTTACAATTTTTTGCATTAGTTTAGACAAGGACATTACTAGTATACAATGTCCTTAGTTTAGATAATAATTCTATTTCAAACTTGCATGTGCACAATAGCGCTTTCTGAAATTTAAAACTGGATTTAGATGCTGGAACATTAAATTTTTGGTACATTTCAAATTCACCCATCCATCCATCCATCCATCCATCCATCTATCCATCCATCCATCTATCCATCCATCCATCTATCCATTCATTCATTGAAATGTTTTCTCATTTAGGTATGATAAAAATAACATACAACACCATGCCCGTAGCCAGGGGGGGTTCGGAAGAACCCCCCCACAAGGCTCAAAGGTCCACTTTTTGGTCCACTTTTTATGTAAAGGTCCACTTTTTGGTCCACTTTTTATGTAAAGGTCCAAGATTTTTCTTGAAAAGATGGACTGGAATCGTAGAAAAACTGCTCCTTTTGTCATTGAATAAAAATTTATCTCTGATTTTTTCTTGGAAATCCTCTCAAAAATGCACGAAATGCCGTTTTAGAAGGTTCATTTTTCAAAATTTTCCGGGGGAGCATCGCCCCCGGACCCCCCTAGGAACCTCGCGCCTTCGGCGCTCGCCTCGCGCCTACGGCGCTCGAGGTCCCCTCAAGCAGTGGAAGAACCCCCCCCATTCAAAATCCTGGCTACGGGCATGCACTCATCACACTTGTAGGGTTTGAGTCCACTATGACTCGCCACGTGTCGCTGCAAGGATGTCAGGTGTGCAGTAGAATAGTCGCACTGGTCACATTTGTACGGTTTTTCTCCTGTATGTTTCCTCATGTGATGGGCTAGGTTAGTCTTGGCGGAGCACCTAAA